TTCCCTCTAGATGTCGTTACCGTCAGCCGGAGGGACCGAATTTGCATCTTTCACACGACGGACGTGCAAAAACACGAACCTACAGCGTTACGGCTACTGACGTGTGGCATCATTTTTCATTCAATACAACACAAATTTACTTCCGTTCTTATTATTTTAAAGATTTTTCTTTAACATTTAAAATATTCTAGTTATTTTTTCTATTTATTCGTAATACTTTCGAAATTGTATCCACGTCTCTGGTTAACAAATCGTCGGATTATATGAGAACCAGTTCTCGGCGGACATTTTTATTGTTTCCCATTGCGAGTGGCCGATCGTGCACACAGCCGTTCGTCATCTCAAGTATCCCCCTAATTCCGGTAATGGGATACTTTTCCGGTGCCGCGACGAGGACGTCCGCGCGAAACGGAACAGTCGTTATTATTGATGGGGATATTGATCACGAACGTTGAAACGTGTGGAAACAAGAAAATGTTCAAACCATTGTACTTGATTAAGCACCGAAAACAAATCCCATGTAAATAATCAAAAAAAAAATCGCTTCATACATAATTAAAATATCTACGGCCTGCTCTAGTTCTAAATGTTATTTGTAGTGTTAGTTATAGTTTTAGTTCAATTTATAAAATCAATCTATTCATATGGTTATTAAATTCTGTCACGAGTCCTTCTCGCCTCTGGCCGATTATCAAATTAATACCACAACATCGAATTTCAGGTCGAAGCTAATCAAATAGTTACAAGTCCATACAAGTGGGTTGACTGCATTATTGGTCTATGAATATTGAAAGAGGGACGACGTACGACGCGGCTAAAACCGCATTTCATGCAGAACGTACCGCAACAGTAGCCGCTTTGTTACCACTCGCTGAATTCCATTAGTTGAGAGAATCCAATTACGAGGATAACACTAATTTTATAATCGAAGGCGGTCGCAATTCCGTTTAACTCGCCGCAAAAGGGGCACGTACTCCCGCGGGATTTATGAAAAAAAATCGAATGAAAGTTAGCCCTTTCCCAACTCCAACCGACGATATATTAAATTAGCGGGGTTGGGACGTCCCATTTCTATTCGTAGTACGTCCGCAGCTTTTAATAACCGTTATCACGTACTGCATGTTAAATGTTTAATTGGACCATCTCCGTCTGTTAGGATTAAGTAAAGTTAACACAAATCTTAATGTTAAGCTAATATTTAGTATTATTAATTGTTAGCTATTATAATAATTGTATGCCGAATATATCCACAAGTTTGACAAGCTAGTGACATTACTGTTTAAAATTGAAATTTAATTCCGCAGCAGGACGCGATTTAAACAGTCCAGAATAACATAAATATTTTAGCGGAATAAGCGCCGTCAACAGGATATAAATCAGTTAGCCAGCACCTGACGCCTCGGCGCGATTTAAAAACTGCAATTTATTCGAATATTCGCGCCTATTAACATAATGCCGCAGATAAATAATTTAAACCGCTCCAGTTTCGACCATCTGCACCGACGAATAACGGAAAACTTCTGCTACATTAATTATGGCGGTTTAACTGGTGGGGGAAATATAAATTGTGATGCAATTCAACAGAATTATATCCCCATAATCAATCAATACGAATAGATAAACATAACTAACTAATTATTTATTGCAACATTTAAAATTTATAAAAAAAAACTTCATTAATCTCCCAGATTTTATATCGTTATCATACTCAACTTTCCCTTAGCTCTCATTTTTCGTTTTATCACTGTCTTTTCTTTTAACGACCCCCATGAAAGCCTTTTATTGCTTCCCAACGTGAACCAATAGGGGTCCATATAAATTTGATCATAGCCCTAAAATAAGTAAGACATTAAGTTTATGCGAAAAGTTGCCTTAATTAATATCACTTTCTCCATTGAAACGATCCAAGTTCCCATTTCATCCCCGTGAGTTTGTAATCGAAAAGTACAGCCTACGCTTACATAAAACTGCCAAACAACAATTTTTACCGAGGGTCGAATAAAATTCTTTCGCTGGTTGCCGTTGTAGTCCGGCAACCTCGGGGGAAAAGTTTATCGTTCGTCGGCAGTACTTTCGTTAATTCGCTTATTTATTGTACTCGGAACGGCCGATTTCACGATAAGCCATAAAATTTTACTACCACGCCCTTACTGTTCGGTAAATAAGTTTCTGGTTTCCTAGTAGTAGTCCTCACACTTCTGTTTAGGACTCATTTACACTTGTTTAGAACTATCACTTCAGAAAACGGACCATTAACTTCCCAGAAAATCTTTATTTAAACCAACGATTTTTTAAAGCTTTGTATTGTTTTTCTTAATTAAACTTTGATTTTGTAATTAGGACGGTGGATTAATTAGTTACATCGGGGACTCCTAATTATTCCCCAAGCGACGTTCAATTACGACAACAATTACCATAAATGAAACATATCGTTCTGCACCACCATAAACCCCACGTAACTCCGTTTCACGTACATTAAATTTATATAGGCGCCGTAAACGGTGAAAACGCTCTGGCATTATTTTATTGGTACACTTGTATTAGTCCGCTTAATTGATGTTATTATGAAGTTATAAAACACAGGGGGCATAAACTCTCGTAGGTTAGTAACACAAGTATGAGTTGTTTACGATGAAATATCATGGCAATTGGCTTTGGATTTTGACTCATGAAAATTAAGCTAAAATATTTTATAGATATGAATCAAATTACTCTCTTATTATTAACACAAATTCTTTTAGAATATTCATACTAATATTAATTCTAGTTTTAGTTATTATTCAGCGCCAGGTACTAGATCCAAAACTAGAAATATTCGGATTTAGCCATCATGAGAGACGAACCCGAATGTTTCTAGGTAAGTTGTACGAATAAAATGTTTGTCATTTTGAACTATAAAATGATCGTTATACAAGAGCTCTTAATTCACATTCAAACGCCTACAATTTTCTCTTGCGATCCCAATTACCTCATTATCACGGGACACGATCGTTACGAAGCCGGTAAGCGGGATGTTTGCCATCTCTGCTTAATCGGAACCGAACAAAAACGCATTGTCTGCGCTAACTGCCGGGCGTAGAACGTCTGCACAAAGCTACGATGGCGTCAATTCATCTCCGATATGCGACGAACGCTGGGGATCCAGCGAACGAACGATAAGGAGGCGAGAGACATAAATCTACAATCAGCTTCTGTGGCTGAAGCTAATTACCGACCCGGGAATCGTCCGTGTGCACAATGACGACGGCGACGTCGTCGTACTCAGTTCCACGAGATAATCCCTCTCACCTGCTGGGCGAGTCGCATTATTCGCAAGTCGACAATGGACGTCTAGATTCGGGACAGGTTCAATTTTCAGCGACTACAATCGATATTATTGAGAGGCGATGCTTTGTGTTAAATATGACGTGACTTGAAAAGTTTTTTCTGTGAGTAATAAAATATTCTATAGATAAAATTTTAAACGGAACTAATAAAAGACGTAAATTCAACAACAATTTTTTGAATCAGAAAATATACAAGTCAAGTTATCAAATAAACAAGTCTAACAAAAAAAAAGGACGACGACGTCGACGAGGAGAAAACTTTGTCAACACGGGACCCGAAAAGTAATCGAGCGACACTAACAAAAAAAACAAGCGTCCTTTAAAGGGGTTACGAAGGCGTGCTAAAAAGTGATCGCAAAAAGGCACGCGTTGACTACGACGTTCGTTATATTAGGATCAAGTTTGCGCCGCCGGTTTAAAGTAAAGTAATACAAGTCTGACAGTAATTGATCGCTGCAGTTGTGGACCTCGACGGTGTTGGGGAGGAAGAGTTGAAAAGCTTAGACGAGGAGGGAAGAAAAGTGGAGATAAAAGAAACCGGAACCGGTAGATTAATTAATCAATTACGAACACAATTTCGCCGTGGATAATACACTGATCTCATCGTCTCATATTTTACCCACGTGATGTCTTTCTAGTCTTTTTGAAAAGTAATACCTGGTATTAAAGGGAGAGAGAAACATGATATAATAGCTAATGATATCAATTTCAGTAGAAATTAATTTATTTGGAATAATAACTAATAAAATAAGTATAATCTTTAATCAATATTTAAAACGTTTAGACTTTTTAAAGATGTGGTGTTCATTGGTAACTTTGTTTATGCAATCTCCCCTCTTCCATGCGTAACGGAAAATCAAACCATCTCAAACCTCTCTTTTGTACCCAGTTAATTCATGACCATTCCCAACTGATTTCTATACTAACTCATAGAGTGAAGTGCCCAACGATATAGCAGATGCAGTAGTTTTAGAATTATGGCAGAAATAAACAGCGAAAAGGTCAGTGATATGGAAACAGCCAAAAACAAAATGGGAGAAAAGATAGATCAAAATCAGAATAAAATCAGAATGGAAAAGGAGCTACAAACAAGTCTCTCTCAAGTCTAAGAAGATACCTGATAAAAATGCAGAAAACTCTACTATTACCTACTGTTTCCACGTTTTGGCTGGTTTAAGATTAATGAAAATCTTAAAAATGAGAAAAATATAAATGAAGTCAACAACATAAAGCCAGAAAACACAACGAGAAACACGTTGAAATGTAAAAATTAAGAATAGAACTAGAAATATATCAGATAATGAGATGGACAGAAAAGTCATATCTAGAAACATGGTAATTAAACAAAATTAATGAAAATATCTCCCAAAAAGTTGTGTTGTGAGTTACAACTCAGTTAATATGAAAACTATTTCCACCAACATTTTATACTTCAAGTTTTAACAAATAAGGAACATTTCTGGTTGGATATTGACCAAGTGTTTGTTCATGGCCATCGCCTCGTTTTAGTTAATGCTCCTTCCTTATCTTAATTTCTAAGGAATATTATGGAATGTTGATATTGTTGCAGATATTAAATATATTTGTAAGACCGCAATAATTTTAAATATAAAATGTTAAACAGTTATTAATAAAAATGTAAATTGAAATTGAAAATACAAAAAAAAAACTTACCTGTAGACTTGGATGACACCCCAATTCCAACAGCATCTTCACCACACCAATATGTCCTTTATTCACACCAATATGCAAAGCAGTTTGACGACGTTTATTACGCGCATTTAAATCAGCACCCGCGTGCGCCAATAATTGCATAACTGCGGCCTCATCACCAAACGCAGCGTGATGGACGGCACGATCGCCATCTTTGTCCTCGATTTCGACGTCAGCGTGGAAACGTAACAGTATTGTAATAACTTCCAAATGGCCGTTTTGACTGGCAGCTTGCAAGGCGGTGTGGCCGGCAAAAACCCCGTTTACGTCGGGACCTATTCCAGCCCCAGCTGAACTACTCTGTTTAAGAACTTCCTCGCATTTCTGGGCATCCCCGTTCGCAGCGGATTTTACTAATTCTTCGTTCACATCGCCCGATACGTGTGTTTCAAATAGTTTTTTAAGTAAAGCGCTTAAACGTTCTCCGCTAGTTGTACCGTGCATCGTTCCATCTCTGCTTGCTACTTTAGTTACAGCGAGAGGATTGTAAGTCCATGTGGTGTTACACACTTCCACTTTTAAATCATTATCGTTGTAGATTTGTTGAACGTGACCAACTTTTCCTAAAGTCTGAAAAAAAAAAAAATTTATTAATAAATTTTAATAATGGAAAAATAATTGAACTAAAAACTAGCACTAGAACTAACATTAGACCTACTGCATATGTTATAAATTATTATAAACATATAGAAACTCTTTGAGGTTATAAAAAAACGTTTGAGGTTAGGTTATACGGAATGATAAGGTTCCAACATTACAATTTTATTTTATATACAACTTTAAAAATCGTCGATTTTATTTAATATTTCTTCAAAGTAATGTTAAGGAAAAGATTGTTGTCTCCAAAATGGTAAGGATTTAATCGTTGTTTAAACTTTTTGAGGTTATAAAAGAAAGTTTGAGGTTAGATTATACCTAATGATAAGATTCCAACTTTACAATTTTATTTTGTATACAATTTGAAAAATCGCTGGTTTATTTTAATATTTCTTTAAAGTGATGTTAAAGGAAGGATTGTTTTCTCTAAAACGGTAAGGATTTAAACAACGAATCTTTTTGAGGTTATAACAGACCGTTTGAGGTTAGGTTATATCTAATGATAAGGTTCCAACATTACAATTTGTATTAATATTTAATTTAATATTTCTTTAAAGTGATGTTAAGGGAAGGATTGTTTTCTCCAAAACGGATTTAAACAACGAACCTTTTTGAAGTTATAAAAGAACGTTTGAGGTAGGTTAGATTATACCTAATGATAAGGTTCCAACATTACAATTTTGTTGTATATATTGTATATAATATACAGGGTGTATCTGAATGACTACAACAAACTTCAAGGGGTGATTACAATTTTATTTTATATATAATTTGAAAAATGGCGGATTTAATTTAGTATTTCTTTAAAGTGGTGTTAAGGAAAAGATTGTTTTCTACAAAACAGTAAGGATTTAAACAATAACACTTTTTGAGGTTATAAAAGAACGTTTGAGGTTAGGTTATACCTAATGATAAAGTTCCAAAATTACAATTTTATTTTATATATAATTTGAAAAATGGCGAATTTAATATTTCCTTAAAGTGGTGTTAAGGAAAAGATTGTTTTCTCCAAAACAGTAAGGATTTAAACAATAAAACTTTTTGAGGTTATAAAAGAACGTTTGAGGTTAGGTTATACCTAATGATAAAGTTCCAACATTACAGTTTTAATTTATATGTATATAGTTTTTAAAATCGCCGATTTAATTTAATATTTCATCAAAGTGATGTCATCGCAGTCTTTGTGGAAAAAGTTAGGGTCTTACCCCTGAAAGACTGTACTGGCTCTATGTGACTGTGGTTAGACCTATGATCACATACGGAGCAGCAGCCTGGTATAGGAAAGTCCGACAGACTTCAGTTATCAGTAAACTTTCACGAATTCAACGAGTAGCTGGATTGGCAATCTCTGGTGCGATAGGCACAACGCCAACTCTAGCAATGGAGGTTCTGCTTGGCCTATCTCCTCTGCATTTGCATATAGAGAAAGTGGCTAGAACAACCATTTACAGATTTAAGCAATATGCTCAAAACTGTTCCGACATGTCCTACCAATGGGCTGCGGAAGACATTATAAGCACTGATACTGTGCTATCAATGCCGTCAGATTTGGCGGTATCACTATCAGTGATTAATGCTCGATACCAGATTGTACTGCCTGAGCGGCAGTCCTGGATCGAAAATGAAAATTCTCTGGTTCGGGCAGACATTTGCTTGTACACAGATGGATCAAAAACGCCTGAAGGGGTAGGAGCAGGAGTATACTGCCAGACACCTCGAATTAAGCAAGCCTACAGCCTGGGTACGTACTGTACTGTATTCCAGGCGGAAGTATTTGCTATTGACATGGGTGCTAAAATCCTTCTTGAAAGAGGGGTGAAGAACATGACAGTACGAATTTTCTCAGACAGTCAAGCCGCTCTCCAGGCGCTGCAAGCCGTGAAAACGGTGTCGGCTCTGGTTAATGATTGTAAGAGAACATTAAACACACTGAGTTGTGATAACAGAGTCTCTCTGATCTGGGTCCCGGGTCACTCTGGGGTTGCTGGCAATGAAGCGGCAGATAAGCTAGCACGAGATGGCAGCGCTGAAGCGTTTGTGGGACCGGAACCAGCAGTTGGTGTATCATTTGCGATGGCCAAATATAGGATTGGACTGTGGGCTGAAGAGAGACTTCGCCTACTGTGGACCAGTTCTCCTGGAATGAGACATGCTAAGGTGTTTATTAACATCGCCACTGTCAAACCCGGGAATATTTTAGGACTTGCCCGTAGTAGCATAAAAGTTCTAATGGGTGTTTTTACTGGGCACTGCCGATTAAAAGCACACCTCAACTTGTTGGGTTTAGCCGACGATGTTGAATGCCGACTATGTGCGGAGGAAGCAGAGACGGTTGAGCATGTTTTATGCCACTGCCCTGCCGTTAACCGTATCAGATTCTCGATTTTTGGGTCGCAGTTTATCTCCTCAAAAGATCTGAATGACCTTTCGCCGAGCAAGGTATTAATGTTCGTTAAGAGCATTGGACTGCACGGTGAAATTTGATAACGATATCTATCGGGGTACAATAGATCCTTAGGGTCGCGGTGCAAGGTTGGTTGGTCCGCCTACCCGATATGTATTCTATGTAATGTAATGTAATGTAAAGTGATGTCAAGGAAAACATTGTTTTCTCCAAAACAGGAAGGATTTAAACAATGAAACTTTTTGAGGTTATAACAGAACGATTGAGGTTAGGTTATACTTAATGATAAGGTCCAACATTACTATTATTCTATGTATATGTTTATAGATCCAGGTCTGGCGTTAGTTCTAATAGCTAGAATTAATACATACCTATAGTGTGACCCATTTGAAAGTGAAGCACCCTTATAAAATCTGTATTTATTACCCGATTTCAACAAATTCTTTTTTGAATTGTAGAGCGTAAGAAACTGTGCCTTAGGACAAAGAGTCATATTTCACCTTTTATGTGCAAAAAAAGAAGAAACCATATTACGAAATATTTTACAAAAAATCTGAGTACACCACTGCATTGAGAGCCGTTTGAAATGGGCATATACCAAATTTCATCAAAACTGGTTACAAATTAACACCGTTAATTGAAAAATATAATTTTTTATCAATTAATTTCATCTGTAGCAAATGTAAATAGTTTTTGTATTATTATCTGTATTTTATTACCTTCTTTGTCATGGTTTACTAGATCAGATCAGATCAAATAAATTCATAAAAATGATATTTTTCAATTATCTATAACGGTTTTAATTTCTAACCATTTTTGATGAAATTTGGTATATGCTCATTTCAAAAGGCGCTTAATGCAGTGGTGTACTCAGATTTTTTGTAAAAAATTTCCTAATATGATTTCTTCATTTTTTTCACATAAAAAGTGAAATAGTAGGCCTTGCTTTTTTTAAGAAAAATATGACTCTTTGTCCAAAGGTACAGTTTTTTATGGTCTACAATTCAAAAAAAAAATTGTCGAAATCGGATAGTAAATACAAATTTTACGAGGGTGCTCCGCTTTCAAATGGGTCACCTGTATAATTAAATAGAAAAATAATCACTTACAGGAGTCATTCCATCAGCCCATTCTCCATGTCCTCTTTGCAACATTTTAATACGTTCTAAATCAGAGCAAATCTGTACAACATCGCCAACGGCAAACTGCTGTTGCGGAGTTTCATTGAAACCTTCTCCAACAGGTGGAGCAGCAATTTTAGTCAAAACGGCCGGATTAAAAGTCCACCGATTTCCGCTATTATAAGCGACAACAATATCGTGATCTTCATCAATCCCAACTACCGTCCCTGTAGTACTTAAACATTCCACCATCCCATCTGTCCATCCCCCGTGCCCCAATTGCAAAGATTGAACGATTTCTAACTCCAAATCAACGCTAACTTGATCGCCTATTTTCAAATCTGGTGGTCCAGAACGTCCTGAGCCTTGATCTCCCAAGCAAGGTAAATGATCCCGATAAACAGTTTGTCCTTTTGCATCGCTTACAACTTTTAAATCTGCCATTCCTTCAAAACCAACACGGTATAAATTTTTTGTGCCATTATCCCAAACTATATAAGCAGCGGATTTTGGACTGGTTGCTGACCAATCTTGGATATCCTGAACTTTTCCACGTCGACCATTTCCCCCATCTTGATCCTCCCATTGCCAATCGACGCCTCGAACAACTCTCGCACTCGGAAAAATACCCCTTACAGCAATCTTTTTACTTTTACGACGAGTCTCCAAGTAAACCCTTTCGCTACCTGGTGTAGTTATCCGGAAGAAACGATGGCGCAAATGGTGTTTATCGCCGTGATAACAAATTGAGCAGAGATCGTAATTACCACATTCAGCACATTTCCATCGAATTCCAAAAATTGGTTGTTGACGGCATGTATCGCACATTGTACCTTCATGTTTTATACCCGTTGGGGCACTGTCATAGATCCTTAAATCAAATTGACCAGAACAACGATAATTTGCTGCTGTTCCATTATCCCAGACAACTACCACTTCATCTGGTGATTCAAAATTGCGAACTGTACCAACATGACCTTCACCACCATCCTACAATATTCAAATTATTAACAAATAAAAATTAAGTATTAAAAGTAAGGTTATGTTCAACAAAATAAAATTATAATACTTTTCAATATAAACAAGTTAATGTAGAAAAAATTATTTGTAATCATAAAATTAATTTAAAAACAACAAAAAACATCTTTTATCTTTAGTAATCTCTAATTTTTTGAATTTTTTTTTTATTATAGACCTAACCTCAAAACAATTTCTAACCTACATATTTTTTATAAAGACCATAAATTCAATACTTTAAACAATCTAAATTTTCCATATAACAGTAATCCATTTGTAGTTAAAAATATAAATATTGAAAGCTAACCTGCTTTCCCCATTTCCAGTCAGGTCCTCGAATAACGCGAGCGCCTACGCCCTCCAGCATAACCTTACTCGTTCGTGGGGCACCAGGATTCGCCCCCACGACGTTAGCTATTTCCATATTTAAAACTTTTACGAGTTTTAAACTCTAAACTTAAACTTTCTTTAGGGCCACCTTAAAATACAGAGAACATTTATTTTCGTATGATCGGGTGTGCTCGGCCTCGAATCTGGAACGTTCGGATGTGTTCGGTATTTGCAAGGATACCAATCGATGTCAAAATATAACCTTGAAAAGATTATTTTAAAAAAAGTGTTTTGAAAAATCAATGTGAAGTTAGGCGTATGTAATTAATTTAATATTTTATTTGAATTTTATTACTTTATCTGTATATGTTATGTAAAATATAGATCATTTTACAATTATAATATGAAATGGTATGAGACGACCTGTTTGTAATTATTTTTGGGTATAACTATTCCCCACTAGATGGCACATAATTTATAAATTTAAATTTACAAAAAATCACATCGACTCTATCATATATTAAATTGAACCTTAATGTTGATGATATGATATAAAAATTATAAAATAATATTATTAAAATTTTCAAAAAAATTTTGATTTAATTTCAAAAAAAATCAAATCATCTGTCTAATTAAAATTTTAACATTTTTAAAATTGTCATTGTCATTAATTTTATAATGGCGGATGATCAAACTAAGTCATCAAATGTGTATGTCCGTATAAAACCTCTTGGTAAAATTAAACCTGTATTAAGATTATGACTTTAAATCACTTTATTTTATTTTTTAGGTCGAAAATTCATCATATACGAAAAAGTACCTTTTTATAGATATGTGGAACTCATTATCGCAGAATTTACTGGAACTTTTATTTTACTTTTTCTTTCTAGTCTAGCTGATGGTGTTTTAAGTAATATACTTGAAGTTACTTTCGCCGTAGCTCTATCTATATCAGTTTCGGTGGAGGTAAATAAGTCTTGTTAATTCTTTCTAAATATCCTGACATTGTCATCAAAAATCTTTTCTTTTAAGTGCGTCTCCCATATTTCTGGATCACACATTAACCCGGCAGTTTCTCTCGGTGCTTTCTTAGCGGGTTACCTCTCTTTAATACATTTATGTATTTATATGATTTCTCAACTTCTTGGTAGTATAGCTGGACATGCGACGGCATTGGTTAGTTAATAAGTAATTAATTTAAAATGAGTTAACCAAAAATTTTATTTCAGGCGATTGTGTCGAAAGAAATGCAAGAGGCCTTTTTTAACGAGAAAAGCGTTGGTATTTTCACGTTGAAGAAACGGGGATCTTTGGAGGATTGGCAAGTGTGCATTTGCGAATACATCTTAACATTCTTAATTGTTATCGTATGCACCGCCGTTTGGGATTGGCGAAATAGGAAAATTGATTCTCTCGGTATTCGGTTTGGTTTTCTAATTGCAGTCTTGATTCTTGCTGGGGTAAACTTTTTATTAAATAAAAAAATTTTGTTATAAATTTGTTTCTTTTAGGGAGATGTTTCTGGAGCTGGGTTAAATCCGGCTAGAGCAATAGGACCATCTATAAACAACGGCGAATTCCTAAGTTATCATTGGGTACATAAATAAACTTCCATGATTACTTTTTATGATTACTAATTAATTAATTTCCAGGTGTATTACGTTGGACCTTTTATGGCTGGAATAACGGGAGGTTTGCTTTACAGAATAGTTTTTCAAACGCCAGAACCTGGGTACGATGATGTTGATGGTTAATCCGCCAACAAATAATGATACAAAAATAATTTATTTTATAATATTATATTTTTTTTTAGAATATATTTATCTTCTTTTTGTTATACTTTTTATGACAATTTAAATCATTTCGCAACATTATTCTTCACATCAAATTATTTTGCACCAACGTTCTAGTACAGAAACCATATTGCGTATCAAAATCCCTTGATCCATATCGGAATGTATTAAATAGAACAGTAAAAGATTACTAACTGATTCTTTGATTTTATCCAATTTTAATCACAGTAACTCAATCTATGGTGCTTGCATAACTAAGGACAATCGATACGGGTGCAGTATGTCCAAAATGGGTTTTTAAGACTAATTTATGGATATCTTATCTGGCATAAGTTAAAAGAGTGTGGATGGCTAAATATGTATAATAGGATCATTTTTCGCAGGGAAGTAGTTTATTTTAAAATTTTAAGAACATAGAATGAGAAGTAGAACATTCGTGCAGAATAATTTAATATTAAAATAATATTATTTAAGTGTTTGCCGAACTTATCCTTTGATGTCGACTCCTTCTGCTGATAGAATGAGAGTAATTCGGCTTGCGCATACATCATATCAATCCTATTATTCCACGTGGAAAATAACCATAATGCAGATATACCCACTTCATAGGCATGCTGGAGGGTTTGTAAGCCTCGCTGACCACAATGCCTCCATGAAAGTACTAACTCTCATTGCGATCAGAGCATCATGGTTATTTTCCACGTGGAATAATAGGATTGATATGTACTATGCGCAAGCCGAGTGACTCATTCCATCAGCGGAGGGACCCCATATCAAGAGATAGGTTAGGCAAACACTTAAATAATCCTATTTTAATATCAAATTATTTTGCATGATTATTCTATTTATATATACATATGGAAAACTAGCAGCTTCAGATATGGAAGTGTTCAATATACTTTACACAGAATTATTAACAAGGCGTATACACGCATAACATTGTAGTACATGAAACTGTAAGTGCATTTTTCTCGAAACATCCTTTTTACATCTGGTTAATACGATTCATAAAAAACTACTCATTCGATTGAGTTGAAATTTGAACTACACTTTCAAATAGCATCTTTCTATCGTGTGACCTACAAAGAAACTGATACGATATATACATGTTTTTTTTGCGATAAACTTATCGATTTGAAGAACAAAACCGATTATCTTAATTTGACTAGGCGCCATTTTACCAATAATGTTTTTTTTTGCTTAGTTCTAGTTCAAACGATAATCACAACTATATAGAAAAGAACACCATTTGATTTTTGAGTTTCAGATCATTGCAAGGATAGATATTGTGTCAACCAGCAACTTAGACAATCCACACACCAACTTGGTTGAGGGACAATGTAAAAATTATGAAAACATATGCAAAAGATTAAATTGAAATACCACATAATTTGGCAGCAAAAAATTTTGCTGGATTTTGGAGATGTTAGGATAGGTCAGTTTTGTTTTGAATCCCTAATTATAGCGTGAAGAAATGTCGGTTGTCTTTTGTACCCCAATTATAGCGTGAAGGAATGTTAAGACAGGTATCTTTCGTTTAAAAGGCCAATTAAAGCGTGAAGAAACCCTAGTTAAAGCGTGAAGGAATGTTAGGATAGGTCAGTTTTGTTTTGAATCCCTAATTATAGCGTAAAGGAATGTCGGTTTTCTTTTGTACCCCAATTATAGCGTGAAGGAATGTTAAGACAGGTAGCTTTCGTTTGAAACGCCAATTAAAGCGTGAAGAAACCCTAGTTAAAGCGTGAAGGAATGTTAGGATAGGTCAGTTTTGTTTTGAATCCCTAATTATAGCGTGAAGAATCCCCAATTATAGAGTGAAGGAAGTCTGATAATCTTAAGTCAGGATAAATAAGATAAATTTTCCACGCCGATCTTCCGTCAGCTGGATCCATACTAGTCGTTGGTTCATCGAACATACACATCTTTGAGTTACTGCATAATACAATTCCAACCAGTGATGGGCGCTGGGTAAATACCCGGCGGGTAGGTATTTCTAAAATGGGTATTTATCCGGGTATTTACCCCGGCCCAGGGTAAATACCCAAACAGTGGGTATAAAAGTGATACCAGTAAAAATATATCGATTCCAATAAAATTGAAGAGGAAGACGATGAGGACGTTGAAGGCGAGGAATTGTCAACAATCAAAGACGTATTATCATTAGACGAATCTGTCGTAATTTAGATTAGATCAAGTTATTATGATTATTATCACCAAGCAGCCCTCTGCGTCCATTGTTGGACATAGACCTTCCCTATTCTGTGCTGTTTGAATCCAATTGTTAGTCATTCTTTTGACGTCTACTTCGTCTGTTCGCTAGCGGTCTCCACTCTCAAGCAACCGTTTTGTCCACTGCTCATTCTTCATTCGCACGACATGACCCGTCCAGTTCCACTTAAGCTTTGCCACAATGTTGACCACATCATTTACGCCAGTTCTTCTTCATAGGTCTTCATTTCGTATGTAGTCCCTCAGAGTTAGACCCAGGATCGACCTCTCCATCTATCTTTGCGCAACTTGGACCCTCTTGGCAGTGGTTACCGTTAATGTTAAAGTTTCGGAGCCTTATGTCATAACCGGAAACACGCATTGATTGAAAGCCTTTCTTGGCCTTTTCTCTTGAAGATGTCTCTAAGATCCTTTAGTGTGTTTAGTTCGCTTGTTTGATTATCTCTCGATACACGAACCTCATAGCCAAGATATACATAGCTCAATCTCATTATCCCCAATGTTGATGTCAGAGCTGGGAACAAGATTTATCATAAATTTTGATTTCTTCTTGTTGATATTTAGCACGACTCTTGCACACACCTCCTTTAAGTCGTTCATCATTAGTTTAATCTCTCCAAGGCTATCCGATATAAGAACTATATCGTCCGCGTAGCGCAAATTATTTAAGCATTTGCAATCAATGTTTATGCCTTTTTGGGTCCAATCCAGTTGTTTAAATGCACTCTGAGGACTGTGATGAACAATTTGAGTTCAACAGTGTCCCGCCTTGTTTTACTCACAATCAGTACTTTACTACTTTTACTCTCTTCAATACTTTCATGCAATTTTACCGTCATTGAAGCATTCCTGTAGATGTTATAAATAAGTTTGGTATGTCTATAAGCGACTTTGCATTCTTGAAGTGCTTGCAAAACTGCCATCAACTCAATTTAAATTAAATTTATAAATACCTCAAAATACCCATCTTGGGTAAATACCCCCGGGTATATATCCAGGATATTTTCCCTTGAAAATAAATACCCGGGTATTTAACAACACTGATTCCAACACATAGTTTTCTTTTCATTCCTCCAGATAACGCTTTTGATTTTGCATTAGAAAAAATTGATTTATTATAATTTTTTATTTTTTTGACTAGTACATGTTAGTATTAAAATATAAATAAAAAATAAATTAATATTAGTCAATATTCTCAAGCTCATACCCAATATTGATAAACTTAACAATATTAATCACACTTTCATTAACATCTGCTTGACGAATTAAATGGCATTCGTTAGATTTTCCTGAAATTTTTCTTGTTATTAAAGCAAATATTCCCCTAAAAATACATCAAATTTTAAATTAATCTCCAAGTTATTTAGTTTTAACTTAAATCATTATTCTTACTTAGGACTAACATCCACACTCTGATATTCTCGTACCAATCCGCAGTAAGAAACTGATTTTTTGGGATAATGTCGTCTAAAAAAATTTCTACGCGAATTATTCGTTAAAGTAATTCCCGAATTATTAACAAAAAACTCTACGTCATAAATAGGGGATACTTTCAATTCCATGAATCTATTCATCGCTTTCTTAACGGCTTCGGGCCCCGTTAATCTTTCGGTGTCGGTTTTATACAAATAACGCAGTTTCGTAGCGGCCCCATGATCATTTAGAATATTATTTACGATTGTTTTGTATGTTTCAATTTCGTCGAGTATGATAAACGATTTCCTTGCATCATTGTTCGTTGTAACCACATCAAGTGGCTCACTCGAACTATCGCAACATGTTAAGGAACTAAAATTTTAATCAAATAGAGTATTTAGAGAAATAATTTTTTATTATTAAGTTACGGATCATATTGATTGTTATCTAGTCCTTGATAAATATCGTTTATAATAATTTCTTCTTTTTTGTATCTCTGTGGTATACTATCTGGTATATTTTTGGTGGTGTTTGTAATATTTTTCTTTGGAGGCCACCTAAACACAAGAAATGACATCATTAATAAATCAATGTATCTATGTGGTATTGCCGAATAGATGTTAGTGGTAATTAATTAAATAGTGAATTTTACCTGTATTTTAAGAATACCGGTTTAATGGAAAGCTTGTCAGATTCCATCTGTTAGGAGAAGAACACACTAACACATTATATGGTATAATATAATAAAAAAAATTAAAGCTGATATGCGCGTTGAACGTAGGCGTAGCGCAACGATTGATAAACCAATTGATAAGCTTATCAGTCTATAAGTAAATATATATCATCAAGTACATATATATTTAGTTTAATTTACTATTGATTAAAAAATGAGTCTCCATCTATTATCAATAGAAATAATCTACAATAAAAAATAGAAACCTGTTGTAACTTTAAAAGCAAATAAATATTTTGCTTTATTAAATTAAAAAAAATTTCTTATTTACATAAAGTTTAATACATTACATTTATTAAACACATTAACTAAAAATAAATCTCTTTTTATAAAAAACCCCAAAAAAATCTGTCAATTTGACAATTACATTTCGAATTGAGGTTATGTTTCTATTAATATTAATTAAGAATAAAACCGTGCTTATGAAATGGATTTAGAATTAGAAAACGATTTTTTTAATGAACTCGGTTGTTTACCAGCTGAACCACCAGAAATGCGAGATCTATGCGAAAAATGCGAGTACGTTTTATCATATAAAAAATTAACTCTCATTTTTAATCTAATTTTTTAGAAGACCCACAAGAGTATGTTGGTGTTCAGCCCTCCCAGATCCCCCGTTAAACCCCAATTCAAGAGTGATCATCCTACAACACCCCGCAGAAGAAAAACGTTGCCTTAGAACGGCCCCAATGCTCAAATTAGGTTTAGCAAAAGAGAAGTGCCTAATTTTTAAAGGGAAGCGTTTCCCTACAACGAATGAAGATTTAAAGAGTATATTAGAACATGCAAACACACTTCTTTTATATCCCAGCCCCCAAGCTATTGATATAACTAAAATAAATTTAAAGGAAAACGTTTTAAACCCATTTAATATTATAGTTATTGATGGAACTTGGCCACAGGCTAAAGCTATTTATGCGAGTAATCCAAAATTGCACACCTTGAAACAGATTAAATTAATTTCAAACACTGTAAGTGATTATACAATTCGAACACAACCCACAGATGGTTGTTTAAGCACTTTGGAAACTGTAGCTAAAGCTTTAACTTATTTGGAAGATGATGAAAGTTATAGAGATGTTCTTGTGAGACCGTTAAAGTTACTTTGCGAGTTTCAATTAGAAAATGGAGCTGTATCTCATCAAAGTAAAGAGTATAGGATTAAAAATAATTTATACCCAAAATTAATTGGAAAAAGATTAAATAAAATGTTAAAATCCGTTGATCAAATTAATTTAAAAAAATCAGATTAATATATCTCAACTAAAAACGATTTTTTTTAATAAAACAACATGAATCAACATACATTTTTCTTTTTAATTCAAGTATTCGTAATTTGACAAACCCTATTAACAAGTAAATTAAAGAAAATAAAGAAATTAAATTGATCATTAATTATCTTAAAACAGTACAGAATGATCATATATTACACATAGTACAATAATAATCGGTCTAAATTAAAATTTTATTCATTTTAAAAATCATTTCTCCATCCCGATTCAAGGTTTATCTTGAACTTGTCTATCTTAACTTTTAAAATTCACTATTTCTTAAACATTTTTTTTTTGTTGAAGATTTTTAAAATAAATAAATCCTCAAAATGTTCGCTTTAATTACTACGATTCAACCAAATTATGGTTTTTAATAAGAAATAAGCAATGCCTAACCCATATAAAATCTTCTCTTTTTGCAAACGACCTAAATTTTCCAACTCCAAGGCCATCACCCTCCTGTTTAATTTAGCCATTTGTTTTCTCAAATGAATTACTTCTTCGGCTGTTGTTAATCCATCTCCCCCTGCGCCAATTGGAGGGGTTATTTCTCGACCGATTATTCTAGAATCGTTCAATAAATTGTCTTGATACATCTTTGGTTTGGGTTTAACAACGGGGAGTTGATCTTTCATGGGTTCCTCAAATTCTTCAACTCCTGGGAATGGGTATTTATCCAAAGTTAATGTTCTTGGGGGTGTTCCAACTCTTGGATCGCTTGGGTAAGGATCGTTTTGTTGTAAAAGGGAATTATCAAAGACTATTTCACGTGGAGGTGCTTTTGTACCTAAAAAAAAAATAATATTGCCATCTATTTATTAATTACATAACTGTGGAGATTATACTAGTTAATCTCTTTAAATAATTTATATTTTCAACAATTTTTGTATGAAAATAAGTCTGTTGTAGCATAACACCAAAAAAATAATGATCCATATCACCAATTTTTGACATTTATGAAATTTTTTGATTTTTTTTACATCATTCATTCAAAGCACACCATTTTTTTAATAAGAAAGTTTACCTAAATGTTGATCACTTCCAACAACTAATATCCTTTCAGGTACTTGCATATTAATATTTTCTTGCCAAGCTGCATGATTGCCTCCGTTCAAAGGAGTTTCCGAATTAAAACTGATTTTATGGGGCACTTTCATTTTCTGACTTATGTCTACTTTAAAGTTAGCATCTGTTATGTATGCTTCTTCTAAGTCGTTGTAATGTAAAGGAGATGTATTTGCGGACATTTCAAGCTACGTACGTTTCTTTTACAATTAAAACTGACGGCTGAAAATAACAATGACAGTTAACTAACCTTAAAATCTTCCGGAATGTGAGACAAAAAATAAAGTTAAAAAAACCGCTAAATTCTTTTCATACCTGAGTACAATGAAGAGACGAAAGGAAAGTTTTGTTTTCTTTTTGTAAATCTTTAGCGATACGGTAAAAGTAGTACAATTTCGACGGCTTTTCGTTTATTAAAAAACTGACATTTTGTGACTTTTTGTTTTTCACGTTGATAGCTACTGATTACCAACCGAAATAGAAAATGGGTCATTAGGTAAATTTATACTTTAAACACTAAAAATATTTATTTACCACGATTATATAATCAACATTAAATTTAAATCGATATCTTTAAATCATTTTTACAAAACTTCACAATTTTTTTACATCAAATTTAGATCATTTGACATGTTTGACATAGTTAGGTTAACTTGTTAACGTCAATAAGCGTGACTTAAACAAACGTCAAAATCCACTTGAATTAATTAAAATAAAACGATTAAATCCGGATTTAAAATGCCAGCGACAGGATTTCACAGATTAATATTGACCTTAGGATTTTTATCCCTTTTTCACGCAGCTTATTCAGCCGCCCAACGTAAGTAATCAATATATATTTTAATCAACATCCTAACCTCAAAAAATTTCAGATCGATCTTATTTGCGTTTAAATGAATTAACTTTCGATGGTTTACCTTACGATGTAAGTAAAAAATGATTATTAATTAATGAAATAAACGTTTCTTTTATGATTAGATAACAATCCAAGCTTTGGTTAGTTTATTAACGATCATGTATGGTGTTTTACACATCGCTGGTGATTTTAAGGAAATAAAAGCGGCTGCGGAGTTGGAAAATAAAAGCTGGGAGACTTTTAGAAATGTTGCATCATTTTACGTGTTTAATCATAGGGGGAAATCTTTATCCCCTTATTATCGGCCGATCACTTCAAAATCTAGTCTGGATGAAGCAGATTAATTTACATAATTATTAGTTTTGTTGTAAATTTAATTTATAAAGTAAATAATAATCATTTTTAGGTTTGTATGCTTTTATTTTTGTTTGTTCTTTCCTAAGAATAAACAGTTAAATTTATAAATAAATAAATAGATTAAAGTGATAATACACCGTTTCAATTGTACTATTATTAACAGGAAAGCCACATGCTGTGCGAAAATTTGATTAGAAACAATTAATTTAATAAATCCTTTTTAGTTGTTCATAAGTAACAAAGAAAATTATATTCCAGGGTCCCATACGAAATAATGTGGGCACAAAACCTTTATAAAACGCCCAAATTCCTTCGTTTTTGAATGTTTGAACAAAACAATCTAAAGTTCCAGCATATAAATGTGCCGGTATCCTTTGCTCACAGTATTTTAATTTTCTTTGGTTCATCAGTCTCGTCTAAAAGAAATAACGTTAATTAATATGCCAATAATTTTTTTTTGGAGACTCACCCTTACTACATCGATTGGGGTCGATGCTAGCGCACTTGCAAATCCAGCTGTAAAGCTAGAACTAAAATTAAATTGAATTATTAAAAGTTAATCAATTTTTTTGTGTTAATATTACATAAAATGATTTGATATGTTATTTCCTAAGTATATCATAAGATGACTTTTGCAAAAATCGTAAACCGGAAGTTCAACAGCTGCAATAAGAGCAGCTCTTTGTGCTGTTGGACTAACACCCTAAAACGAAACATTAAAAAATTATTATCAAACAAAGATTGAGCAACATCGTTTATTAAACGCATTGTGAAAGGCGATTCCTTCAAATCAAAGTTCAAAAGTATTGTATCACTTTACTCATTAAGATAACTTTTTTATGAATTTTTTTAAAGACTTACACGCCACAATCCGGAGATTCCTTCTTGATAATAAACGTTTTTAAAACATGCAAATAACGAAATGTTTCCTGTTGTGCCTTCGACTTGCATCCGAACCTTAAGGACATCAGTTGGATTTGCGATGGCACTCGAAAACGAACCAGCAATCACAGCACATAATACATTTAATTGGACGGATTCGCGTCCGTAATGTTTAACGAAAAAGTCTTTTAAACAATAATAAGTACCGAATTTTATAGTGCCATATGTCGATTGTCTTAATACTGCAGGCCAAATTCTAAAAAAAAAATTTAAATAATTATTTCCAAAACTAATCTCTTTGTTCTTGAAATAAAAAAGTGATTAGGATGACTAGACATGATTCTTTAGATTAATTTATTGCAAGTCATTTGATACATAAAGTACCAAAACAAAACGTAAAGATTACAATAACAACAAAGGCGGATAAAATTTAATTTTACAAAGATGAGTGCTGTTTTTATTGATTCTTTTAGGGATCGAATTACGATAATAAAAAGAACGGAAATCTACCACATACGTATAAACTTGTTTTGATTGTTGCTTAAGAAATGTTTAAATGACGTTATCAGTTGCTAACTGTAATAATATTGAAAAACTATTAAGATTGTTGAAATCGTATTTAATAAAATCAGGCGATTGTTGGGTTTAAATTTAAAACGTTCATTTAACAAGCAAAACAATTTTTGAAATCATTAATGATAATTTGTAACGATTATCAATGATTTCATTGGGTCGGAATCTAAACAATTAATGGAAAATATTACAAGATTAAGCAATATTTAAAAAACTATTTTCTTTTTATTAATTCATGATTAACTTTAAAGTATCACTTTTCATATTTAGCTGTCAATTTGACGTTTATCCTATGAATTTCAAATTTAATAATTCCCTGTAATTAATTTCTACAACTTTAGTATATTTGATTATGTAATCACAAAATACATTCGTTAATTGTTAGATTTAAAATGGAAAGTATTTTAAATCTATAAAATACTTTGATGAAAATATTAATAACGCGAGATAGCTGTTTGTCAGTTTTGACGTTAAATGTCAAAATATTTTTTAAGGTTATGTCAACTTGGAAAATAAATTAATTAATATCGTACATTTATTCTTCGTGTTGCAGGTTATTGATCTTGCTAAACATTAAGCTAACTTGTAAAAAATCTTTTTATTAATTCATGATTAACTACGAAGTATCACTTTTCATATTTAGCTGTCAATTTGACGTTTATCCTATGAATTTCAAATTTAATAATTCCCTGTAATTAATTTCTACAACTTTAGTATATTTGATTATGTAATCACAAAATACATTCGTTAATTGTTAGATTTAAAATGGAAAGCATTTTAAATCTATAAAATACTTTGATGAAAATATTAATAAGGCGAGATAGCTATTTGTCAGTTTTGACGTTAAATGTCAAAATATTTTTTAAGGTTATGTCACCTTGGAAAATAAATTAATTAATATCGTACATTTATTCTTCGTGTTGCAGCTTATTGATCTTGCTAAACATTAAGCTAACTTATAAAAAAACTTTTTATTAATTGATGATTAACTTCAAAGTATCACTTTTCATATTTAACTGTCAATTTGACGTTTATCCTATGAATTTCAAATTTAATAATTCCCTGTAATTAATTTCTACTTCTTCAGTATATTTGATTATGTAATCACAAAATACATCCGTAAATTGTAAGCTTTAAAATGGAAAGTATTTTAAATGTGCTTTATAAATTCGAATAGATATATTTTGATCAATAAAGCGAGACAGCTGTTTGTCAGTTTTAACGTTAAATGTCAAAATATTTTTTAAGGTTATGTCAACTTGGAAAATAAATTAATTAATATCGTACATTTATTTTTCGTGTTGTAATTTCTAAACAATTTTATCCAGTACTATATTTTCTAGTTAACACTGTTCGATACCTAAATGCAGTCTCTTTAATTTGTTTAGCCCTGATAGAAGTAAAATGTCTTGTTAAACTTAATAAAAGCATATCAGCGCTTGGTTTGAAGCTGTATGATGGATTTGTGGTGAATTTGTAGCATGTACTCAATATGGATATAAGCAAGAATAAAAATCTGGAATAAACAGATGTTCTTCCTTTAAATGGAATGAAATAGTTACACTATTGAAAGATTAATATATTCGCAAAAGTTAATATAATATATTGACTGCTAGCAGTATATATCCAATATTCTTTGCAGGTCATTGATCCTTTTGATTGCTGATGGAGTTCAAGATTGTTAACTAGCTAGTTCAAATTTAGTATATAATACTTTTTGGAAGAACTCAATAAATTAATATTATTATAAATTACACAACTAAGCAGTGCATTAACCATCTATTTGATATATTCCTGATGTTAACAAACTGGATTTAAACAGTGTGAATTCATACTTGAATAAATTAATATAAATCTAATTCAAATTTTCATATGCATTCATAGGATTTAAAATAGTTATTTTAAAGATGAGTTGAGATTTAATCTCTTAAAATAGAAACTAAATTGTATGATGAAATCAATCTTAAACTTGCATATGCATATTTAAGTTTCATGCATATAATATATGTACAATAATAATTGCAATAACTTTTAAGTAGAACATTATATTGAAAAATGGGGAATTTATAGATTCAAGGAATTTATAGATATCAGCTTACTAATTACTGATTATCATGTAAATGATGAAAATATTTTAATCTAAAAACCCTTACTGTGAAAACAAATATTGTTATAGTAGTTTTTAAACAGAAAAAAGTTATCTAATCTCTAAATTACCTGGTTGTTATTCATTATATTAACAATTTCATTTAATAAATTTCTTATTAACTTACCCGGCATAAAGAGCAGGAAGTCCTTCGTACTTAATAATTTTCAAAAGACAATCAAGCATCCCCCTGTATTTAAGCTTGGCATGTTTAATATCAACTTTCTGTCCCTGAATTTGTAACCTAGTCTTAGATGTATCAATCGGGAATGTACCTAAAAATCACATAATCTCGAAATGAATTGAATACTGGATAAATTAATTATTTACCGAACTCTGCTACACAAGAAGCTAGACCCCCATAGATAAACGGCCGCCAATCACTCAGTCCCATCACAAATATATTTCCTTAAAAATTAAACTTAAAAAATACACACACACTTTAATAGAAAACTCCTTTGTTTGGTAATTTTTTTTTAAAAACTTAATTCTGATAAATTTTTTAGCAGGTTAGAATTTAACTACTGTATGGATTAGAACGTGCTAGTGATTCACCCAACAATTTGTTATGTACTGCAAAATGTACCGCATTGAGTATGGCATGGGCCGTACCGGGGACGATTCTTCTTACGTCACAACCGCGAGGTTTATTTTAGTCGCGATTGTTGTTGCTAAAAATTCGTAATTCGAAAATTTGTACGACCACATTTTCGTGTGGGTTTACTTTTACGACGACTTTTATTTCTTTTTGGAGGTCTTTTTTCTTTTTGAGGTTATGTAACCAAGAATACGTCCGGTTTAAATTGGTTTCTAGTATAACGGATACATCACTTTTTGCGATAACGATTGAAACCGAATTAAATTTTAATTTTCTCGAGGACGTGTTATCATAAATCTTGTGATTTAAAATTGTTTAAAAACGTGATTATCGTGTTCACGTTTTTCATAAATTTTTGCCAAATTCTTAAAAACCTCAAATTCTCTATCTGATAGAGTAATCCAATTTAAAGTGTTTCATCTGAACCTTTTGAGTTTTTTTTTGCAGTTACACCAAAAACAGCTTAATAATATCAGCGTTATAACCAGTAAATTTCCTGGATATACATATACTTAGGGGTATTTAGAGCTATTTATAAAATTTAATTTAAATTGAGTTGATGGCAGTTATAAGCACTTCAAGAATGCAGAATCGATTATCGCTATACCAAACTTATTTATAACATCTACAAGAATGCTATAATGATGGTAAAATTGCATGAAAGTACTGAAGAGAGTAGAAGTAGTAAAGTAATGATTGTGAGTAAAACAAGGCGATACACCCAAATTGTTCATCACAGTCCTCAGAGTGCATTTAAACAACTGGGTTGGACCCAAAAAGGCATAAACATTGATGGCAAATGCGTAAGTAATTTGCGTTACGCGGACGATATAGTTCTTATTTCGGATAGCCTTGGAGAGATTAAAACTAATGCTGAACGACTTAAAGGAGGTGTGTGCAAGAGTCGGGCTAAATATCAATGAGGCGAAATTTGTGATAAATCTTGTTCCCAGCTCTAACACCAACATTGGGGATAATGAGATTCAGCTATGTATATCTTGGCTACGAGGTTCGTGTATCAAGAGATAATCAAACAAGCTAAACAGAAAGATCACACTCGCATGGGCAGCCTATGGGAAACTTAAAGGCTATATTGCTATATACAAGGTGTACCATTATGTTGTAAACGACATATTTTTTTAATAACTTGAAAACAACTCAATATTTTGTTTGGATTCTATCATTTTATTGAAATTTGGACTTGTACAATTTGTTTAGTCACTTTTTGAAAATGATGTCTAGTAGGTGGCTCCCCCTAGCTGTCACCACAAAATCGGCCTTTTTTTTCGACGTTTTTCATCACTTTTGCGAGTGTTTCGTGCGTTATTTCGGCGATTTCTTGGCGTTTGTTGGCCTTAAATTGCTCGAGAGTGTCTGGCTTGTTGACATAAAGCTGGTTCTTAAGGTATCCCCACAGGAAAAAGTCAGGAGGCGTTAAATCAGGCGAACGCACCGGCCATTCATAATCGCCACTTTTCGATATCAATCAATTTGGAAACATGGTACGCAGCAAATCCATTGTTAATCGAACAGTATGGCATGTTACACCATCTTTCTGGAACCTGTAGTCCTCCATGTCATTCAGCCGTTGTCACGCTCTTGAATATCGACACTTACAGCAGCTATAAAGTCATTATTAGGGCGTGTACGGGTTAACTTTGGGTTTCGATGTTACCAAAGAACCACTGGCATTGAATTTCCCCTTAAAACTTCGAATTGTCTTGGCTGTGGGCGTTGGACGACTTCGATATTTTGCTCTGTACACGCGTTGAGCAAGCGTAATAGAGGAACGTTCTTTAGATGTGTGGTTAAAATTTTACTACAATGACGTTTCCAATGTGACATCAAACATGGCGATTTGACAGCTGGTTGTCGAGTTATTCAAAAGAAACATCGGTTACAACAAAATGGTACACCCTGTATTTGAAAAGAAAGGCTTTCAATCAATGCGTTTTTCCGGTTATGACATACGGTTCCGAATCTTTAACATTAACGGTAGTCACTGCCAGGAGGCTCAAAGTAACACAAAGATAGATGGAGAGGTCGATGCTGGGTGTAACCCTAAGGGGCCAATACTAAATGAAGACCTATGAACGGTTATTTACCCAGCGCCCATCACGTTTTTCATAAGTTTTTGCCAAATTCTCTAATATCTTAAAAACCTCAACACAAATTCTCTATCTGATAGAGTAATCCAATTTGAAGTGTTTCATCTGAACCTTTTGAGTTTTTTTTTGCAGTTACACTAAAGACTGCTTAATAATATCAGCGTTATAACTGAAGTAGATTAATTTANTCATGGCCATGTGGTGCTCCGTGCATTTGTTTAATTTGAATTGCTTGGCGGTATTATTTTCCACATGTGACGTAATGCGCAGTATGGTTGCGTACGAATCTAGACAACCTCTTATATATAAACCTTGGTTGTCGAGTTATTGAAAAGAAACATCGGTTACAACAAAATGGTACATCCTGTATTTGAAAAGAAAGGCTTTCAATCAATGCGTTTTTCCGGTTATGACATACGGCTACAAAACTTTAACATTAACGGTAGTCACTACCAGGAGGCTCAAAGTAACGCAAAGATAGATGGAGAGGTCGATGCTGGGTGTAACCCAAAGGGACCAATACTAAATGAAGACCTATGAACGGTTATTTACCCAGCGTCCATCACGTTTTTCATAAGTTTTTGCCAAATTCTCTAATATCTTAAAAACCTCAACACAAATTCTCTATCTGATAGAGTAATCCAATTTGAAGTGTTTCATCTGAACCTTTTGAGTTTTTTTTTGCAGTTACACTAAAGACTGCTTAATAATATCAGCGTTATAACTGAAGTAGATTAATTTATTCCATTTGGGAATATTTGATGAGTACCAATTTTTATTTTTATAGATTGATCGATTACAAAGAAATGCATACTGAAAAAGCACTAAACAGAACTACTTAACAAACTTAAAATAACTCAAAAAACTGGTACAAGTACGTACCAACCATTCTTGTATGTATGTATGTAGTTTCACGTGGGGGTGAGTTACTCACAGCACTTAGGTCCCAGCGGAACCTTTGTACGTCCCCACAATTTACTGTTCATTCAAGGGTCAGAAAAGCAGCCCAATCATTTCATGAACGTTAATATAGAACAGAAAGGTATATTATTCCTTATATCCGAAATTTGGAGCCATGGTACTCCGAAAATAGATTCCCTTAAGTACACGAGGTTTGGACAGTCACAAACAATATGACTTACCGCCTCGTCTTCCATTTCACACCCTCTACAGAGGGGTGTATTCGACAGCTTCATGTAAAACATGTGCTTACGTAACCTGCAGTGTCCGGTCAGGAAGTGGGTGAGAAGCCTCAAGTCACTTTTCGATTTTCCCAGAAACTGAGTAGATGTCTTCCGGTCAGGGTAGAGCAGAGTTTTCTTAGCAAAGGCACCTACTGCTGTCCCATCCCATCTATCGCAAAAAGCTCGGTGGGAGATGGAGTTTATCAGTTTTGATGCTGTATTAACAGCTAGTGGTACAAACGGTTCAGGGGAGATCGGTGACTTGTTAGCCGCCCGTTTCGCCAACCTGTCCGCATGATCATGTCCTTTAATTCCGATGTGTCCTTTTCGCCATTTTATCGTGACGTTGTTGTATACGTTTGCCTCTTCGAGTGATTGCCGACAGGACTTCACCAACGATGATGCAGTATGATGCCTGCCAACCGCCAGCATAGCCTGTCTGCTATCAGTACAGATTACAACGTTTCTGCCGACTTTTTTGGAGTCGATAATCGCATCGGCTGCTATGTTTATAGCAATTAATTCGGCTTGAGCAGTCGTGCAATACGATCCTAACGAAGTGGAAAGGTGCAGCTGGAGATCGTGCGAGAAGATTCCCGCTCCGGAACCTCCAGCCTTCTTTGATCCATCAGTGTAGATGGTCAGCGTTTTGCCCGAGCTTGAGTTGCTCTGGGGTATCGTTTCAATGCCAAAGTGTGGCTTGCCTAAGAAAGTAGGTGTAATGTAGTCTGTGCGAGCTTTAAGGAGGGGTTGTTTACTAACAGCCTCACTCCAGAGCTTGCTCCGGACTATTCCCATTTTAACAACCTGCTTTTCATTTACTGATCGCAACCGAAGCAATGCCATCACGGCCACCTCCCTGATAAAAATATCTAGGGGCAGCACGTTTAACATAGTCTCCATTGCAATCGTAGGTGTAGATCTCATAGCGCCTGTGATTAGCAGGCAAGCCAGTCGTTGCAATTGATGCAGCAATGTAGCTTTATATGGATGTTTTAGTGCTGAGCACCAGACTATGGCTCCGTGAGCTACCATGGGTCTTATCACAGAAGTGTAGATCCACATTGTAACTTTCGGATTTAATCCCCAAGTATTCCCAATAGCCCTTCGGCACTGGGTCAGTACAATCGTTGCTTTTTTGGTTTTGCAACTAATGTGTGATGTCCAAGTTAGTCCTTTGTCCAACCAACCATTCTTATCAAACTCTACATATTTTTATTTAAAGTTTTCGAATATGTAACTTTAGTTTCAGTTGCTTTAGAAAACTCTGTTCTATTCAATGATGTCATATTTGGGTAGAATCACTCCTTATTTTTGAAAAACCTGTACATGGGGTGAAAGTTAAAATTGAAATGTGTTCGTGTGAAAGTATAGGCAACCCACTTGGCATCGAATTATTTTAGTAAAAATTCATTCATTTCTTTTCATTCATTAATTCAGATATTATAAATTCCACTGTGTACAGTTAACTGAGTAACTCGTGCAATAATTATATTGATTCTATAACTTTTTTAAAGTTCTATTTTATATTTTTATAAAATAATTTCGTTTTTTGATTCTTTAGTAATAAACGTATGAAGAAATGTTCTATAATAATGGGATAATTAATTTTTGTAAAAATCAAAATTCTAAAAAATCATCCATGACAAAACTATGTATAGTTCATGCATTAAGTTGTGCATCAATTAATTATTGTCTTGTTTTTAAGACTCCCTCAGATTTTCTTTTCAAAATTTTTGAAAAGCACACTGGTTTAATTCATTTTTTATTCGATGGTTATCTAAAAATTTCTAGTGTTTCTTAAACTCAACCCTCTTTAGAATGATCCTTCCGGTCAGTCCATAATCCTCATATCCATCTCACTCCCTCTTTTCTTACCCTAATCTTTCTTCCCTCTTTGTCTTTCAGGAATTACTTTGGAACTTGAAGCCCTTTAGAACTATTATTCCCATCGACATCGAAATCGACGTCCAGTCTACTATTTACGTTCTCCGTGTTCGTTGTCCTGCTTCTTTGCCTGCCTACCTTCACCGGTAACTTCGCTTCGGATTTTCGCTTTGCAGATCCAAAGAGCGCATGCTTCCCAAAAGCAGAGTACGTCGAGTACGGTGTTCGTGTTGTTGCTGGTTGTGCGGCGTCCCGTCGACCGTCTCCTCCGTATAATAGAGGGAGACCCTCTAACATTCGGGTTTGGCGTTCTTACGACATGAGCGTCAACGTACGCAGCTTAATAAGAGAGGTTCACAAACGACCGATTCTTTGGGACACAGCCCACAAGGACCACGCCAACAGGTTCCTATTGGAACGCGTCTGGATTGAAGTAGCCACCGTCCTGGACGCTCACGGTATGTTGTGTATCTTTACTCCACTTCCTGTATTCGTAGTCTGTATGTCTGTGGTGTGGTCTCTACCTCAACTCAGTATGTATGTATGTCGCAACCCGTTGTCATGGTTACCCGTCATTTAGAGGCTTTGCGTTGGTTTACCCCCCACCACATATTTTTATATTTTTCTATTATTATCAAGGTCATCTACAGGTGACTAAAAAAAGATTTAATTTTTTTTTAAATTTTTAAATACACCTTCAACATTCATTCGAAACTTTATTAATAATCATTATTAATTCATTGATATTTAATAATAAACATCAAATTTTAATAATAAAAAGTGATTTCTCATAAAAATAAGACATTATTAAAAACGTGTAAATTGGGTTGCATAATCTTCAGTTAATATTTTTTTAAAATTACAGTAAGAGACGTACGTCAAAAATGGAAATATCTCCGAGATCAACATCGGAGAGAAGTAAAAAAGATAGCAGAATCGGCATCATTAGGAGCGATGGCTTATGAGCCAAGTTGGAAATATTATCATCTCCTTTTCTTTTTGGTTGAACAGATAAATGCAAAAATTGAAAAAGCCCATTGCGTCCCAGAACGTAGTGGTGAAGTTCCGAATATCAGTACACCCACGAATTTTTTCGAAGAAGAATCATCATCGTCATCAACTCGAATGCAATACGATGAGGAGTCACCAGAAAGGAAACGAAAAAGAACAAAATTTGATATTGACGAGGATTTATTGGCTTATTTGGTGAAGTTGGAACAAAAGAAGGTGGATATTTTATTGGCACAAGATGAAGCGAAACAGGAAAATTCAGACGATTTGTATTTTATGAAGAGTTTGTTGCCGATTATGAAAAGTTTCACGAGAGTTCAAAAGTTGGTCGTCAGGAATAAGATTTTGAAGATTATTATTGAGGAGATGAACGCGAATCAATCGTTTGTATTTCCGGAACCGTCCGGAAATTGAATAATAAAAATAAAAATTAAAAATAAAGTTATCCTTAATATAAATTAAAAAAAAAAGCAAAATATAGAATTGTGTTTTTTAGATTAGTTGCAAATTATTTCGTTTTATTAATTAATATTAATTATATTAATCTTAATTTTTTTCTTTTCGAGCAAAGAAATAAAAGCCTCTATTAATTAATTAACTCTTGTTTCAATTTTTCCCAAATAAAAAAAGCAATCTTTTTTATCAAATCGAAATAATTTAGTTATCGACTCAATCTGTCAACAAAATCCATGCTGACACATTTTTCTATCCCATTAAAACCGGGAATCTATGGCAAATATCCCTTTCAACCAGAGAAGATCGATAGAACGCACGCGTGTTGCGGTCCAAAGCAGATATCGATTCGACCGCTGTTCAGTCTTTAAGGTTGAAATTACTCCCAAATCTCACAGCACCATCGACCTAAAACGCAACGTTTCGACTTTTTGTTTGGATTTGCGCGTTAAAGCCCAACTAGTCTGGACTCGTTTAGATGGGTAGCGGCTAATTCCTCGAACTACCTTTTACAGTAATAGACTTTCTTAAGGATTCTAAGAAGTATTTTATGAGTAGAAATGGAACAGGTAGAAATATTTGCAGTGAATGAATATAACTTTTTTTTATTTAAGCCTTTGAATGGAGTTTATTGTTTGGATTAGGGATTTGAATGAGAATTTATTATCTTTTTTTTTTTGACGTGTTTACGTTTTATCTAGGTTGTTACAAACGAATTATTAACAGATTATCATTCATAAATCTAGTGAAGTAAATATTTTCTGGTTTTATTTGGATCACCTTCTGAAATATGAGGGTAATCTAAAATTAATATGTTTAGTTAAATATATGATTTTTTTTTATTGCAATACCAAAGTAATCAGAAAAATATTTTATCAACAACAGGAAAGCAACTTTAACTTCAACATAATTGAATAATTCTAACATCTCTATTGTATATAGTGTTTTCTAATAATTGAATAGTTTCTGTCTAAGACAATTAGTCATCAGATCGCTTTTCCTCTAGAACTAGAATCACTTGGGTTTAGCCATGCGTCTTATAAGACGGCTAAAGCCGAATGATTCTAGTTCTTGATCTAGTGTTAGTTCTACTTTTAGTTCAATAAAAATATACAACAATCTAGCGTTGTATGACAATTAAAACTAGAACGAACACTAGACGTCTGAAGACGCACGGCTAAACCCGAAACTTTCTAGTTCTAAGTCTAGTGTTAGTTCTAGTTTTACACTAGCACTGTTACTATGTAGAACTACATTACATTACATTACATTACATAGAATACATATCGGGTAGGCGGACCAACCAACCTTGTACCGCGACCCTACGGATCTATTGTACCCCGATAGATATCGTTATCAAATTTCACCGTGCAGTCCAATGCTCTTAACGAACATTAATACCTTGCTCGGCGAAAGCTCATTCAGATCTTTTGAGGAGATAAACTGCGACCCAAAAATCGAGAATCTGATACGGTTAACGGCAGGGCAGTGGCATAAAACATGCTCAACCGTCTCTGCTTCCTCCGCACATAGTCGGCATTCAACATCGTCGGCTAAACCCAACAAGTTGAGGTGTGCTTTTAATCGGCAGTGCCCAGTAAAAACACCCATTAGAACTTTTATGCTACTACGGGCAAGTCCTAAAATATTCCCGGGTTTGACAGTGGCGATGTTAATAAACACCTTAGCATGTCTCATTCCAGGAGAACTGGTCCACAGTAGGCGAAGTCTCTCTTCAGCCCACAGTCCAATCCTATATTTGGCCATCGCAAATGATACACCAACTGCTGGTTCCGGTCCCACAAACGCTTCAGCGCTGCCATCTCGTGCTAGCTTATCTGCCGCTTCATTGCCAGCAACCCCAGAGTGACCCGGGACCCAGATCAGAGAGACTCTGTTATCACAACTCAGTGTGTTTAATGTTCTCTTACAATCATTAACCAGAGCCGACACCGTTTTCACGGCTTGCAGCGCCTGGAGAGCGGCTTGACTGTCTGAGAAAATTCGTACTGTCATGTTCTTCACCCCTCTTTCAAGAAGGATTTTAGCACCCATGTCAATAGCAAATACTTCCGCCTGGAATACAGTACAGTACGTACCCAGGCTGTAGGCTTGCTTAATTCGAGGTGTCTGGCAGTATACTCCTGCTCCTACCCCTTCAGGCGTTTTTGATCCATCTGTGTACAAGCAAATGTCTGCCCGAACCAGAGAATTTTCATTTTCGATCCAGGACTGCCGCTCAGGCAGTACAATCTGGTATCGAGCATTAATCACTGATAGTGATACCGCCAAATCTGACGGCATTGATAGCACAGTATCAGTGCTTATAATGTCTTCCGCAGCCCATTGGTAGGACATGTCGGAACAGTTTTGAGCATATTGCTTAAATCTGTAAATGGTTGTTCTAGCCACTTTCTCTATATGCAAATGCAGAGGAGATAGGCCAAGCAGAACCTCCATTGCTAGAGTTGGCGTTGTGCCTATCGCACCAGAGATTGCCAATCCAGCTACTCGTTGAATTCGTGAAAGTTTACTGATAACTGAAGTCTGTCGGACTTTCCTATACCAGGCTGCTGCTCCGTATGTGATCATAGGTCTAACCACAGTCACATAGAGCCAGTACAGTCTTTCAGGGGTAAGACCCCAATTTTTTCCACAAAGACTGCGACAAGTCCACAAGGATAGTCTAGCTTTGTGCAAAACTCCCTGCAAATGTCCATTCCATGACAGGGTTTTGTCTAGGATTACTCCTAGATATTTGACTTCCTTTGAGAAAGGAATTTCTTCACCTTGGATAGTTGGGCGGATTAGTCCATCCAACTTTCGCTTCCTGGTGAAGGGCACAACAATTGTCTTTTGCGGGTTTATTGAGAGGTTCTCTCCCTTACACCAAGCGCAAATGGTATCTAGGGTCACCTGGAGGACTTTAGATATCCTCGGCAAACAGGTTCCTTTGACCATAACGACAATGTCATCAGCATAAGCTTGTATTTCCACACCAACGGTTTCGACTATCGCAATCCGATCGTCAACTAGGAGGGACCAAAGCAGGGGAGACCCCTCCCTGCGGGCAGCCACCTCCCGGCCTGAAGCGTATCGTACACCGTGGAGGGAAGTAGAAACTATTCTACTATCTAGCATATTGCGGATCCAACCCGCTATGTAGAACTAACACTATAACTAGAACTAGAATCGTTTGGATTTAGCCGCACGTCTCTAAAGACGGCTAAACCCGAATGATTCTAGTTCTGGGTATAGTGTTAGTTCTAGTTTTACACTTGTACTGTCACTAAAACTAACATAAACCTAGAATTAGAAACATTCGGGTTTAGCCGTGGGTCTTATAAGCTGCCTAAAGCCGAATGCTTCTAGTTTTTGATCTAATGTTAGTTCTACTTTTAGTTCAATAAAAATATACAACAATCTAGCGCTGTGTAACAATTAAAACTAGAACTAACACTAGACGTCCGAAGACGCACGGCTAAACCCGAATGTTTCTAGTTCTAGGTCTAGTGTTAGTTCTAGTTTTACACTAGCACTGTTATTATGTAGAACTAACACTATACCTAGAACTAGAAGTGTTTGGATTTAGCCGCACGTCTCTAAAGGCGGCTAAACCCAAATGATTCTAGTTCTGGGTATAGTGTTAGTTCTAATTTTACACTTGCACTGTCACTAAAACTAACATTAGACCTAGAACTAGAATCATTTAGGTTTAGGTCTCTAAAGATGGCTAAAGCCGAAAGATTCTAGTTCTTGGTCTAGAGTTAGTTCTACTTTTAGATCAATAAAAATATACAGGGTGTTCCGTAACTCGACCGACAAACTTATATCATATATTCCGGGGGTCATTACGATCAAAAAATGGTATATCACGTATAGGTGAATTCCTCTTCATTTCTGAGATATAGAAAGAATTAAAAAAAGTGATAGTTAGTCTTGACGATTTAATGTTTGATAAATTAATGATTTTTATGCTGTCTGAAGCAGTTTCAATTGCAGTTGAACGAAGTCCTTCTACCAGTATTCGTAGAATATCCCATACAACGGGAATTTCTCAACCCAACCTATGGAGAATACTGCACTATGATGGACTTTATCCCTATGATTTATACAAAGTCCAGCATTTACTTCCTGCGTTACGGATGAGGCCTAGTTTACAAAGAATTATTAACAACACCCGTAATTCTCACATCTGGACGGATCAAAACCCACACGAAGTAATCGTTGTTAACCATCAATATCGTTTTTCCGTCAACGTGTGGTGCGGCTTGTTAAATAATCAACTAGTTGGGCCTCATTTTTATGAAAGACGTCTTAGTGCAGAAAGGCAGGGTAACCTCAGAGGACACCTCGAGATCCTCAAAGACCCATGTCTAAATCACCTGATTGAAATTAAAACGGACCTTATACCGACGGAATACAGCAGGGATGATTGGGCGAAAGGAGGGTCTCAACTAAAAAGAGGAGCCCTAGCCTGGTACACCGATGCTTCAAAGACAGTAAGATCTGAAGTAGGCATGGGCATCAGTGGACCAAATAGCCACATCAAATTGCCCCTCAGCTCGGACTTAACAATTTTCCAAGCAGAAGTTCTTGCTATAAACTTCTGCACCGCTTTGAACCTACAGAAGAGACAAAAAGGTGCATCCATAAACATTTTCACAGACAGTCGGGCCGCCTTAAAGGCAATTCAGGCCTACACGTGTGGCTCCGCACTGATCAGAGAGTGTACCAACAACCTGAGAGAACTCGCTAGGGGCAATGATGTTACCCTATGGTGGGTTCCAGGTCACAGCAACATTGAGGGCAATGAGAAGGCCGACAAGCTGGCCAAAGAGGCAGCAAACACGCCCTTCATTGGACCCCAACCTGGATGTGGACTACAAAAAAGCCACCTAAAACAAATAATCAACAACTGGGAGGCTTCAAAGATAGCCTTACGCTGGAAAGAACTTCCAGGTCACAGACAAGCGAAGAGTATGATAACTCCGTCGCAAAACAAAACCAAAGAGGTTTTATGCCTCAGCAAAGGGGATCTAAGAACGCTCTCAGGCTACCTAACCGGCCATGTGCCCCTAAAATACCACCTCTTCCACATTGGACAAGCTGAGGATCAAACTTGTCGACTATGCAACGACGAGTCAGAAACTGCTGAACATATACTGTGCAATTGCGTCGCCAGAGGACGTCTAAGGCACAACGTCTTCGGTAAAACTCCCCTGTTACCTACCGACATAAAGGTTCAAGACCTCAGGACAATACTAAGGTTCATTAAGGACCTACATTTGCCCTAAACCTTTGGAGGGCTAAAGTTACAATAGATCTTATAGGTCGCGGTAACGAGAGGGGCCGCCCTCCTCAGCCCGGCAGCAATAATAATAATAATAATAGTGCAGAAAGTTACCTTCATTTTTTAGAAGAAGAATTGCCGAATTACATAGAAGATAGTCCTCTAGAAGCTCGTCGTGGTATTTCTTAATCAAAATTTTCCGGAAAGGTGCATAGGACGAGGTGGTCCTGTACATTGGCCAGCTCGATCACCTGACTTGTCGCCTCTAGTTTATTTTCTATGGGGTTGCCTTAAATCTCGTACGTATAGTAGTAATGGTAAACCAGATACACGCGAAGATTTGATTGACAGAATAGTTGAAGCTACTAATTCGCTAAAGGAATTAACTAGCAACATTCTATAATACGAAGGATAGCTGCATATTTAGAAAATGGTGGTCCTCAACAATTAAAAGTAGAGTTTACATCCCTATTGTATCTAGGGTTTTCTAATAATTGAATAGTTTCTGTCCAAGACAATTATTTATCAGATCGCTTTTTTGTCAAATTTTCTAAATTCTGGTAGTATTCTGTTAGATATGTCACTTTGTATCAATTACAATTCAGAAAGTAAGCGATTAGTAACAGTGCAAATACGAATTAGATCATAAACACTCAAATCAAGAAAAAATATGAATTGTGTCATGTGCACATAGAAAATCTTTAAAATAAATTAGTACTTTGAAAACTTAGATACATAAACAATTTTGAATCCGGTAATGATAATATCTATGAAGTCCAAAACAAGAAATTTTATGAATAAAGGCAGTGAGAGAATGAACAAGGATTGACTGCATCTCAATGCCCAAAATTTGTTATTGTTTGTGAAATATTTACGTTTTTTGGATAAAATCTGGTGATATAATCAGAATGCTGACATGCTGTGACGATGCTCATCGATTTTTTATTAATAGAGCTGCGTTTGGACACATTTTTTTTTCAAATTTACACAATGTAGTCATCAATTAAAAAAAGTTCTTGAATTGCAAACATGTTTGTCATAACAGTGCAATTTAAATGTGTTTTCTCGGAATTACTCATCATATCGAGAATATTATTCATGGAAAATTTCAACATAGATATGTTGAACTATTTTAGGGATATTATATGTTAACACATTTAATATTATTAATGGTGATTTTGATTAATACCTTTTATAATAAAAATTTGCAAAATGTCCAACATTTTTGGCAAAAAAGAAATAAAGAACATAAAGAATCTAAATTACAAAATGCATTCCTTGAAAAAAAATCCTAAAAGTCCTCGGTCATCCGTTTGAAATTGCGCATTGCAACTCTACCACAACCAACCAGGGTTGTGTTAAAGGGGCATCGCCTCTGCTCCCCAACAAACGAACGGGCGTCGAACGAACACGCACACATAGAACAGAGTAAAAGCAGCACCAGCAAACAGAGAGAACTGGGCCAAGAAGAGTAATGTGCCGCTCGATAGAAACAGGGTTTGAACTCGCGACATTCTAACTCGGTTACTCATACACGCAGACCGAGAACGTCCAGTGTACGTGTTGTACCGGTTCTTGTGGGGCACGTGAGCACCGTTTTGTTTACCTACACCATTACACCTTCCGGTACGCGGTTTTTTCTTCTTCTTTGATTTCTTTTTGGGACACCATTTCGAAAAATTGCATCATCACATAATGGATACCAGCGAGGGTATGTTTTGTAGAACTTTTTCAAACTTATTCTTACACGTTTTCAAAAATTATTATTAATCTAAAAACATGTTAAAATAAAAATATTAATTAATTTTTTCTTACAAAAAATAAATAAATAAGGTGATTCTTTATTTTGTTAAAAATTAATTATGTTTTATGTTCAATTATGTTTCCAACACGATTTATTAAAAAAATTACTCGAACAATATGGAGAGATTAGTAAATAACTTTCTCGTTGATACGTTGTTGGTTGCAGCTTTCAATGAATGAAAAACGGGTTTCTATAAATTCGTCGTAAATATTGAGTTTGAAGACCACCCGGAACTACTCTGGTCACGTGAAAATCAATAAGCACCACGAAATTCCGATTTGTTTGATCTATAAGTGCTATATGCAACGAATTCTCTTTCTAAATATAGATTATAATTCACTTGGCCTTGTTTAATCGGTCATTAAAGCAATGAATTACGTTTATAAGCAATATAACCATAAACTTTGTTATTACCATATTATTTTTTTTTTATTAAAGTAATTTTTTTAATCAATATTAACATAATATATAATCTCAAAGTAAACCTAATCTAAATTATATTTTTATTAATAATGAATTATTTTTTTATCATTAAATGTACTCATAACTTTACTTTCAAATCGATTTCTTTGTTATATCATCACCAAAATGCTACTTAAATATGTAATTAGTTTTGAGATACTAACGCTAGTACTATCACAAGAACTGATACTAGACCTAGAACTAGAAACTTTCGGGTTAAGTCGTACGTCTTTTGAAAAAATGTTTGACGTTTTGCATGCCATGTTGCAACCTTCTTCAGAAACAAGTTTTGAAGTGTTTACTTTGAAGTGTTCTGGAGACGTACGGCTAAACCTAAAACAATCTAGTTCTAGGTCTAGTGTTAGTTCTAGTTTTAATTGTGACAGTGCTAGATTGTTGTATATTTTTATTGAACTAAAAGTAGAACTAACACTAGATCAAGAACTAAAATCATTCGGCTTTAGCCGTCTTATGAGACGTAAGGCTAAACCCAAATGTTTCTAGTTCTAGGTCTAATGTTAGTTCTAGTGACAGTGCAAGTGTAAAACTAGAACTAACACTATACCTAGAACTAGAATCATTCGGGTTTAGCCGTCTTATGAGACGTAAGGCTAAACCCAAATGATTCTAGTTTTAGGTGTAGTCTTAGTTTTACATAGTAACAGTGCTAGTGTAAAACTAGAACTAAAACTAGACCTAGAACTAGAAACATGCAGGTTTAGCCGTCTTATGAAACGTAAGGCTAAACCCAAATGTTTCTAGTTCTAGGTCTAATGTTAGTTCTAGTGGCAGTGCAAGTGTAAAACTAGAACTAACACTATACCTAGAACTAGAATCATTCGGGTTTAGCCGTCTTATGAGACGTAAGGCTAAACCCAAATGTTTCTAGTTCTAGGTCTAATGTTAGTTCTAGTGACAGTGCAAGTGTAAAACTAGAACTAACACTATACCTAGAACTAGAATCATTCGGGTTTAGCCGTCTTTAGAGACGTGCGGCTAAACCCAAATGATTCTAGTTCTAGGTATAGTGTTAGTACTACATATTAACAGTGCTAATGTAAAACTAGAACTAACACTATACCTAGAATTAGAATCATTTGGGTTTAGCCGCACGTCTCTAAAGACGGCTAGGCTTCCATAAGTCATCCATAGAGTTAACAGTCTGTAATTTTCACAATTTGGTGCACATGCCTCTCAAAAGATAATTCAACATTGCAACCCACGCCTTCGTCTGACACTTATACAGAAACCATACATTCTCAAACAGTATCAGGATTTATCATGAACATCACATTATGTCACTCTAAGTTCCAGTGTAGCCGTAACGTGCACCACTCCAAATGTTGTTGTTGATGTTAAGCCGTTAGTGATAACGCAAGATATGGCCGACAAAATTACAAACATTCGAAATGTTACAGAACGATGAACGATTTTTGTTACCTAACTAGGTACTGCTAGTAGATTTATAGTAGATCTAGAAGCTAGGTGAGAAGATGGAGGTCCTACATCTCATTTGTTCTTCTTCACCCCACATCCTTATTCTACTCTGCTCATCGCATGTCGATGGATTGATTCTGGTTGACACTTTTTCTGAAGCATTGTTGTTAAGATTTCTGTTAAATTCACATAATTGACGGTAATTTCCACTCTAGGCATCCTCACACCCTGAATTAAACTGGAAAAACGAAAACAATAAAGAACTGAACAAAATCTCGTAAAACATACACCTACTTAAATTGTTAGAAAACCCTAAAAATACTTTCAGAATAGTGAGTATCCTTGAGTAATACAANAGACCTAGAACTAGAATCATTCGGGTTTAGCCGTCTTATGAGACGTAAGGCTAAACCCAAATGTTTCTAGTTCTAGGTCTAATGTTAGTTCTAGTGACAGTGCAAGTGTAAAACTAGAACTAACACTATACCTAGAACTAGAATCATTCGGGTTTAGCCGTCTTTAGAGACGTGCGGCTAAACCCAAATGATTCTAGTTTTAGGTATAGTGTTAGTTCTACATAGTAACAGTGCTAGTGTAAAACTAGAACTAACACTATACCTAGAACTAGAATCATTCCGGTTTAGCCATCTTGAGAGACGTGCGGCTAAATCCGAATGTTTCTAGTTCTAGGTCTAGTATTAGTTCTAGTTTTGCGCTAGCACTAAAACTAACACAAGACCTAGAACTAGAATCATCCGGGTTTTAGTCGTCTTGAGAGGCGCACTGATAACCGGAAAGTTTTTAGTTCTAGATCTAGTGTTAGTTCTAGTGATAGTGCTAGTGTTAGTTCTCGTTTTGGTTTAATTAACACAGGTTTTTACCCTTCGTACTTATAATTAATAATTCATTATAATTATTTGGTAATTAATTTAATATTTTCTTCGTTCATAAAACAACATAATTGATTTCTTTGTCGTATCACCTCCATTTCCTACATTCTAAAATGTTTTCCTCATAATTAAACCCGACCTTCATTTTCACTGTAAGCTTAATTAAACTTTCTTAATTAAAATCGTAAATAATACCTACATCTAAAAATAAATGGAATCATTTAAAATTACTAATATATTCTGACATCAACAAATTTTAATCTGCGATATCTTCAAGGATTACAACGTTTTTAATTTTCGATTTAGATCATGGATTATTCGAGTTCGATTTTTAAAATTTATCAAGTATAGAATCAAAAAAATTTAAAAAGTTGAAAGTTATTAAATAAAAAAAATAAGTGTTAAATGAAACTTTAAAAAATGTTATTGATTTTATTAGAAACCAAAATTTTCTGGCTAAAATCCAAAGAACATTAAAATCCATTAAAATGACTCATGTACCACCTGAATTTGGCGTTACGTACGAAATAAAGATTATGGTTCTAGCCAAATATTTTAAGTTAAAAATAAAATCTTACGAAACTGTTTTCGTTTTTCAAATTGAAATGGCTATTTTATTAAAAGGTGAGTAACGATTTTTGAAAGTTTTCGGGTTGTTTTTTCATATTGTTGATTTAAAAGTGTTTTTTTAGGATGTGTTAAATTTTAAAGTCTTTGTAACTCCTTTGACGCAAGTCTGTGTTTATTACCGTCGGTGGATAATTACCTCTTTACAACCTTTGGATCCAGAAATAACGTCGTTGGTTGATTGATGTTTGGATGACCTGCCAATTTTCGCCTTGAGCAAACACCCTTATTGGTATTTCTAAGAAAATAATATCAAATCTTTACAATTCCCCTTTATAATATTTTAATTAACTTTGGATTCTTTTAAGTTAAGATTTTCTTGTTTATTATTAATTAATTTAACCATTAAAATTCTTTTAAAAAGAAACTTTGACGTAAATCGTGTTTATTACCAGAAGTAATTACCTCTTTACAACTTCTTGATCTCGAAATAACACGTTGATTGACTAATGTTAGCCAAAATATCTCCTTCAAACAGGTTTTATCGAAAGATTTTTGCCCAATTTACTTTTAAAGTATCACAAAAAACTTTCTAAAATATTAGCTCTTTTATGTCCACAAGTAGTTACCGCAATTTACAAACGAATTTTGCATCTATACGGCCTTTAAACATTTCAAGAGGAGCTCGTTTCGTTGAGGAAAGAGCTCGTTACGTCCAAAATTAGACTTTGCCTAAATATTGACGCGGTCGACGTGAGGTAAAAAGTATTTATAGTAACCCCCAGCAATTGAGACCGCGGCGAGCCCGAGGTTGTTAGCACCAGGAGTAGTCTAATAGGATGTCGTAACGATTTTTGCCTCTCTAAAAAGAATTCAGTAACAATTGTTATTGTAGAAGTAGTAAAGTTTGATAAAACCCTTCCGGGTTTCTATTTTAGCTGACTTTTCTGGGTTTTATGGTTTTAAATCTTCTTGGGAAAGTCATATTGTTTACTTAAACTTTTTCAGGATTTATTATTATTTTATTTCTTGAAATTGAACAAATTTTCAAAGAAATTTTTTATTTCTGTTTACTGTTCGTATTGTAATTTATTAATGCCAAGGCTCTGATCTGGTGTGAGACCACAACATCTACAAATACTTCTCCTCTCAACTCTTCCACAGATTGGAGAATATTTATAAAATTCCGGGTGGGGTCCCGTGACGTCAGGTGTGTTGCTGTAGTCCGACTGAACTATATTGCGGATGTATTAATACTTGAGTCTAGCAAGTTCGGTGCATTTCTCGGCCACGATGGACTTCAAGGTGGTTTTGGTGAGTTCTTAAATCACGATCAATCAATAAAAAAATCGATTTATAAATCATCTCAAAAATATTCCCGTTTCGTTCCGCTATTTATAATTTACTAGCTTTTTTCGATTCAAATCGGCGATTGTAGTCGTTTTCTAAATCGCGGAACTATTAAATAACATTGTTATTCATCCGATATTGGCCTTGGCCTGATATTGATTGATTGAAAACGTTTTATATTGTACACGGTCACGGTAGTCCGTTATTCCAGATATTGGTATTGTTGTTTATGTTTTGAAAAGAAACAATACTTCTTTGAGATTAGAGTTAAAGAATGTTTTAAAATGTGCCAAGTTCAATGTGTTTTATTTTCAAATGTTTTGAAGGTTTAAACGTGATCGTTTTAATATTATTTGTAACTTTGTTGTGATCATCGGTGAGTAATCTAAATTTTTTTCTATATCCATTTTATTAAATGAAATATCTAATTATTATGGAATAATATGTAGCAGGCAATGTAAAGTTATGGAAATCTCCTACTGCTTAAAATATATGGATGGCTTGAAATAAAATTCCATTTTAACTTATTTTGTCAGTTTTGAATAAAAAGGTTAATATCTATAGTTCATTTTTTTTTCTATAATACCTGCCAAATTATTGTAAAGTTGGCAAAATTAACAGGGAGTTTTTTGTTGTGGGGTGTTTATTTGCCATTTATTTACCTATAAAATGTGTTTTGTTCTAGTTTTACACTTGCACTGTTGCTAGAACTAACATTAGACCTAGAAGTAGAAACATTTGGGTTTAGTCATGCATCTCATAAGACGGTTAAAGCCGAATGATTCTAGTTCTTGGTCTAGTGTTAGCTCCACTATCAGTTCAATACAAATATACAACAATCTAGCTCTACATAACAATTAAAACTAGAACTAACTAGTTTACTTCTAGTTCTAGTTTTACACTAGCACTGTTACTATGTAAAACTAACACTATATCTAGAACTAGAATCATTTGGGTTTAGCCGCACGTCTCTAAAGACGACTAAACCCGAATGATTCTACTTCTAGATACAGTGTTAGTTCTAGTTTTGCACAATCACTAGAACTAACACAAGACCTAGAAGTAGAATCATTTGGGATTAGCCGTCTTAAAAGACGTGCGGCTAAACCCAAATGATTCTAGTTCTAGGTATAGTGTTAGTTCTACACAGTAACAGTGCTAGTGTAAAACTAGAACTCACACTATATCTAGAACTAGAATCATTTGGGTTTAGCCGTCTTTAAAGACGTGCGGCTAAACCCAAATGATTCTAGTTCTAGATATAGTGTTAGTTCTACACAGTAACAGTGCTAGTGTAAAACTAGAACTCACACTATATCTAGAACTAGAATCATTTGGGTTTAGCCGTCTTTAAAGACGTGCGGCTAAACCCAAATGATTCTAGTTCTAGATATAGTGTTAGTTCTACACAGTAACAGTGCTAGTGTAAAACTAGAACTCACACTATATCTAGAACTAGAATCATTTGGGTTTAGCCGTCTTTAAAGACGTGCGGCTAAACCCAAATGATTCTAGTTCTAGATATAGTGTTAGTTCTAGTTTTGCACTATCACTAGAACTAACACAAGACCTAGAAGTAGAATCATTCGGGATTAGCCGTCTTAAAAGACGTGCGGCTAAACCCAAATGATTCTAGTTCTAGGTATAGTGTTAGTTNAAGATGAGAAGCTTAAATGCGTGTTCGTTGAGTTTTATAATGTAACGTTGACGGGTTGCGCATTTAAAGAGTCGCTTGTTAGTGGACGACGTTCCCAAGAGATTTTCAGTAACTTCCAATTGCTGGGTGACTTTTTAATAAAACAAAATAATCAGAATAAAGTAAGATCCAAATCGTATTTTTTAAATAAAGATAAGGATTGGCTCTTGGAGCGATTAAATTGTTAAACCTAGTATGCGATAAATTCATCTTAATTGTCTTTATTCGATCTTTATAGGAGACCATTAATAATCCCGTCTAATCAATTAATTCAATTGAAACATTATGAACCAGTTCAACCCATACGTTTATACTCAATTGTGTACGTTTTATCTTTTCTTTTTTGAAACATTTATTGGCATATCGAATTTGATAGTCACCCAAATAGTAGAATTTAACGCGTCGCCGTTGTGTTTGCTGGTTGAGATAACTCGGCCGAAAAATCAAAGAAAACAAAAATTGGAACCGTTGTTCGTGACAGAATCGAAAGTTGCACCTTCAAAAAAGACCGAACGGAATTTTTAAAATTGCCTCTGTCCCTGTCTCGTGTCTTCGCACGCCACTGACTCCGCGGTATCGCATTTCAACCACCTAGAGAGCCGCGTGTGCACAATGAAGGAATAGCAACAGTGTTGTTGCATCGCGCTCCGACGGTTTTCGAACTCGATATCGCGTGTATATATCTAGTACCTGTGTGTCAGTGGGTGAAACCACATATCAGGTGTCTTTCTTTAAATTGAAACGGTTCTCTCGACCCGTGTTTCAAAGTAGATAGGTACTCATAGTGATGTATGTACCTGCATAGTTCGAATATAGGAATGCACATCAAACATTATCATCATTCTATTATTGCAATGTGGAAACTTTGGATGAATTGATGTAATGAATATAGAGTGGAGTGGGATGTTATTAAATGTGTGGGTGGATGTGTCTGTTTATTAAATTAAATTTGAGTTAGCTTTTTACGGTTTGGAAACTATATTAATTATTCTGCCTTCCATGCAAAGTTAATTAAAACTGAAACTATTACTAACATTAAATTCAACATGTTTTTTAGTAAAGTTATTTAATTCACTTTCTGGATTTCAATTTATTTAGAAATTAATCTTGGATTTCCATTGGAGTACATACTTACTCAATTCTTAACTCTCATGCAGAGGAAGAACATGAATATCCTTCGTCGATAAATAATCCTTGTTTTATAAATAAATTACAGTAAAACTTCATTATGATGGATTAGTACGATATATTCTAGTTTAAGTTCAATGAAAAATATACAACAATGTATCCCTGAATAACAATTAAAACTAGAACTAACACTATACCTAGAACTAGAATCATTTGGGTTTAGCCGCACGTCTCTAAAGACGGCTAAGCCCGAATGATTCTAGTTCTAGATATAGTGTTAGTTCTACTTGTAGTTCAATAAAAAGATACAATCATTTAGAACTGCATAACAACTAACACTAGATCTAGAACTAGAAAGCTTCTCTAGAATTCACTGTAGAATTAATTCTAAGTTTAACCTAAATTATTTGATGGTTTTTGAATACTAGCCAATTTTAAAAATCAATATTTTCCAAATTGTATTAATAATTACGGAATAATATTTTGGAAATTAATATGTAAACATCAATATTAAATTATGGAAATTTTCGGCTGTCTAAAACACATGAGTGGTTTGGAATAAATTCCCAATTTAACCTAAATTATATTAACAGCAAAACTCTTAATATGCAAATATACTGTTATTTTAGAATAATTTTTAGTTGTCTAAAACTCTTTACAATTTAACCAAAATCATTTGCAACTTGAAATATTAAATGCAAAACAAATTTCAACGAAGCAATAAACTAATGTGCCAAATTTTATATTACGATAAAAGTACCTTTATATACATGATGTTTTCTTTGAAATAAAATTTATAACATAACCCATAAATTAACTATTTTTTTTATCTTCCTAATAAAACCAAGTAATAAGAACTTCAATAACGTACAAACCTTAATTAACTTTCCACGTATCTTTTCAATCCCAATTTTCATCTCAACACTTATAAATTTAAGAGATTTATTTTTAAAAAATGTCAAGTATATTTACATATTCGTATTTATATTTTCCGTAAAAGAAAAATAATCCCAACAACGCTTAAATATAATATGTATGTGTTGGTCTAGATCCAACAGCGAAAAACGTTTTTATTATACCAACACTTATTTTTGTTGTAACCCCAACTTTCCTTTCTCCGGTTTGGTCTCCACTCTAAAAAAAAATTTGGACCAGCTTTTGGCAACGATTTTGGCACAAGCCAATGTAAGCAAATATAATTTCCGCCAAATTCACGTCATTGTGTCCGTATGCAATCGATCGGAAACAATTTACAGTTTTGAAAGATGTTGATGGGTTTTAGTTATTATTAAGTTCCGGATGTTTACAAAATGATAGATTTAGAATTATTTATTTATCTTTTACCGTTTAATGTTAAGCTTTTAATTTGTGTTTATAACAATTTGAATTAATTTTGTTGTTTTCTTCTGTATGTTTTAGATCATTAGAGGTCCGTGAACGGCAGCGGATCAAGATACCGTGCGCCAATCAAAAAGGCTCATGCTGAAGCTGAGATTGGTGTCGACGCACTTCTTAAAGCAACCATAAGAACTTGAAATGTGCCGAGACCGGGATATGAACCCCCGTGCCATTTGAATTTAACACGAAGATAACCCCATTTTGTTATTTTTCACCCTCAACCAAAAAAAAAATACAAATTAAAAAAAGTAATAATATTTGTTCGTGGGGAAGAGCCCGAAACGCGCGCGTGCCAAGTTTTAAACGTGAAAAACCCCGAACCCTGCCGAGTGTTTATCCCGATAGTTTTTTAGACCGTCTCTTTTTGACCCAAAACACCTCCAACTCTCTATATCTTAACAAAATTTTTATTTTACATTGTTCCGGTATTTTTTGTTTTAACGTTCGTCGTGTGTTGAATCGGTTGAGTGCGACATTTTCGTGTGTGTGGCGACGGACATCGCTCATTCATCGATCCGGATCGACATTTTCGATCATCCCAGAGGCTGGCGAGAATTTGCAACCTGCTCAGGCAGTGCACTGTAAGTGTTTTTAATCTTTCATACAAAAAAAAATCAATAACTCAAGTTCTTTTTTTCCCTCCTCTTCAAAACCCCTCAGTTTAAATTTTAATTAGGTTCATATTCTTGTTGTCATCATTAGATGTATTCTTAACATGTTTCTCTACAACTTATCTCCTTTAGAGAACTGACGCTTTGTCGACATTTTCGACTTGTACAACTATTGGTTACAATTGATGTTTTATTGATTATACCTGGAAAAATAACATCATTCAATCAATAGATAGATCAGTAGATGCCAATGACCTGAATAATTACCGTCGCATCTCTGTCCTACGTACAATGTCCAACATTTTGGAAATTGTCATAAAGAAGAGCTTACTGAATTATCTTACTCATGAAAACTTATTAACGACTGACCAACACGGTTATCAACCAGGCAAATCCACAAACACAGCACTTAATGTATTACAAGTGATGATAAGAGGTTTTGATGAACAAAAATATAGTCAAATCGCCTTTTGTGACCTTAGCAAGGCTTTCGATCTTGTAAATCATGACATTCTTACTAAGAAATTGAATAAATACGGAATAAGAGATAAGATCCTTAACCTGCTAGTTTCATATCTGTCTCACTGGAAAGGTGAAATATTGGAGTGGAAGAGAGTCGAAACAGGAGTTCTGCAAGGTTCGGTTCTTGGCCCGATTCTTTATTTAATCTACATAAATGATCTGCCGGATTCACTCTGTCTTTAATCTTTATTATATTGAAAAACTTCAGAAAAAGATTAGTACGACAATGGTTGAGGCAGAAAAGTGGTTCAACTCCAACAAATTACTATTAAATAAAACTAAAACCAAGTTACTCACGTTTTATACGAAAACCAATGATCAGGTTACAAATCAAAAGACCAAATTCCTTGGCGTGGTGTTTACGGAAACCTTGAGTTGGTCACATATCTCAGCTTAGAAAGAAACTAGCAACTTCAATATGTTGTTTGAAAGTAATGGTAAAAAATTTACCATCGGCTGAATCACAAAATGTGTATTTCGCATACTTCTACAGCATGGCGGTGTATGGCATAGCAATATGGGGTGCAAACTTCAAAAGAAAGCGATAAGAACGCTAGTAGGTCTAAAATAAAATCAGAGTTGTAGAGGTCATTTTAAAACTCTAAAAATACCATCCTCATATATACTTACGTGCCTAGACTATATACAGAAAAACAAGGATTCACTAACCATAATTACAGAGTCTCACCCCTACAGCACTAGACAAGGAGATGACATCAAACTTCCATATCACAGAACAACAAAATCATAAAAAAATGTCAACTATATATCATATAAGGTTATACAATAAATTATCACCCCATTTCAAAACATTGAATATGAAGAGACATGTCAAGAATATGCTCTTAGAAAAGGAATGAATAAGTTTTTTTCTACTAATTAACCCTTTGTGTCCCAAGAAGTCAAACATTTTGAAACTTTGTGACAGAATCAGACAGAATTAAAACGCTATCAAAATACACTCAGTAAAGGCCTTTGGAATAAAATTTTAGCAAAATATGCAATCCCCCTATTTTCGCATAGTCTAAGTGTCAAAAAAGATGCTAATTCAAAAATTCCTGGAAACCGTGTTTATTGAAATTAAGAAATAAAACTTATTTTAAATTGAAGCTCAAAGCTTTTTCTTTAAAATGATGTATAATAATTGTTGGGTTGGATTGGAAAAATATAGAGAAAAAAAATTTTGAAACAAAACTTACATTTTCGAATAACCTAAAAATGTTAAAAATATGCTAATTTAAAAATTCCTGTAAGCCGTATTTATTGAAATTAAGGAATGAAACTTATTTTAAATTAAAGCTCAAAGCTTTCTCTTTAAAGTGATGTATAATAATTGTTGGGTTGGATTTGAAAAATATTAAGAAAAAAAATGTTGAAACAACTACTTGTATAGTAGAAAGTACCGACAGCTCTAAATGCGCCGAATAGATAACTACAGTTTAAAATGAGTGTTTAAAATTACCGGTACTTTAAAGTACTGTCGGGACACAAAGGGTTAATCAGTATAATCAGGATATCATCTTCTGGAAATGTTGCTAGATTGCAAAGATGTCATTCACGTAACGAAAATCATGAGTCAGACAAAGGTGATCTCATGGCTGCCTCATCGTATTGCTTGTTGAATTCTCTCTTCCAGTTAAAATATGTCGATGATAAACAGTGCTCCAAAACTCCTTCAATAAACCATCTGGAATGAGATCTAACTTATGTTATATTTTTGATTGTTTCCACAAAATGCGTAAAAATCTCTGGCATAAGACTTTGTTTTACTTCTAAAAGGAGAGAGAATCTTGTCCAAGAGCTTCGCAAACTGGTACGTTGGAGAATTTAAGCCACTGACAATATCTGGTTTATGGATTTTAGGTAATCCATAACTTCTTGGTGGTACTGGGACCTATACAAACAAACGTCTCTGTTTTTCTGCTAGAATATCTGTAGATTTTAACTTCTTGATTTTCTTGTAGATGGATCATTGGCTCATTATGCAAAAGAAAAGTTTTGCTTGAAGAAAAGTGACGTCCTTATTATGTTTAGCCTATTAGTTTTCGGCTAAACCCGAATGTTTCTTGTTCTAGGTCTAGTGTTAGTTCTACTTTTCGTTCAATAAAAATATACCACAATCTAACGTTTAATAACAATTAAAACTAGAACTAACATTCAACTCTCAAGACGGCTAAACCCGAATCATTCTAGTTTTAGGTCTTGTGTTAGTTCCAGTGACAGTTCTAGTTTTAGTGCAATAAAAATATTCAACATAGTGTTATCATATGCTAACTACCACTGTTATTAGAATTAATATTAGAACTAGAAACATTCAAACATTTTATGTGGAACATATATTTTTGTATATTACATTTTAAGTCAAATTCACTGTATAATAAAAAAAATGGATGTTATGAGCCATCTTATCATTTCTTTTGAATACTGCAAATGGGATAATAAATGGTTACAACTAAATTTATGAATAGCATCTAAATCTAAATCAGTAAATTTAGTTTATACAATAATAATTTGATTAATTAACAATAATACAAAGTACAAAGTACATAATATTTTATATCAATCAAAACTTGACTCAAATTAATTAATTTAACTTTTATAAATTTTTTTCCTTCACATCAGATTATTTATGTTTACGCAAGAACTCATCGAAACATAAACCGACTATTTAAACATTGATAAATAATATCGCTAAGCAAACAAACACAGATTGGTAATAAATTGGCTTATTTTTCGTCGCATTACAAAATTTAATGTATAATTTCATTCTTATTTAAACGAAAAACACTTGTGATTAAAATTTTTAAAGTTTGTGAAGGTGAACAAAATGTTTTTCAATTTTACGTGCAGAACAATAATAAATTAAAGTTTTCGATTTGAAAAGGAATGCTTCATCAACAATTTCCTCGTTGCCCGAGTTATTTTTAGAGTTCTAAACGATCGTGCCGTATTTACAATATTCATGAACTTGCGGTTCTTGTAATCGTATCATAACCACAAAAACACAATGTTGTTGTAAAATTAAAGAAGTACGCGTTATTTTGACTTTTTCAATTAATTAAAGGAAAAAATATAGAGAAATAATGTAAGTGTTATCTTTCAATTTCAATTATTTTTTTTAATAAGATCCTAAATATAGACAATTTTACGCCTCATTAAATCTTTTTAATCGCATAATTCAATAACCATTAAACACGAAAGTAATGAATTATGAGACTTTATCTAACAGACTCTAATCAGTAAGCAATTAACGTTAATAAAAAGAGGCCAATAAAAAAAAAGAAAACTAATTTGGCGAAAGAACCCGCAATAAACGTTTTTAAATTAGGAAGTGTTGTTTAAAGGTTTCTTCGAGACAAAAAAATACTATAAAAGTCGTTAGACATTGTCAGAAAAACGCATCTCAAAGGTGAACTCATTGTTCCGCGATTTCAATGCGGTTATCTCACTGGATTTAACCAGTTAACTTCGGTAATTTGTTATTTTCAAAACCTCCATTAAATTAAATCCAAACGGTGTTTTTATTTTTAACATTTTCTTTATATAAAAGAAGTTTTGTGGTAGTAAACTGAGTTATAAATAAAGTTTTTATTTTGGTTTGAGCCCAAAAATTCTTATTTATAATAAAACGCTGTAAAATAATTTATTGGAGCGTTTAATATCGTTGTGAATATGATTTGAGATAACGAATTACGTCTGGACTTTAAAGGTATATTAAGGTGCTTAAATACTCGTAAAGTTGTTAGAAGTTGCTTGGAGTTTAAAGTGTGCGGTGTAAACAGAATTTTCTTGAGATGAAGTTGAAGTTATTGAAGATTGTTTTGGATAAAGACAAAAATGATGAGGTATTTAAGTTTAATGGGATTAAAAGATTTTTTAAGTTTTATATTTTTAACCCTTTGTGTCCCGACGGTACTTTAAAGTACCGGTAATTTTAAACACTCGTTTTAAATTGTAGTTATCTATTCGGCGCATTTAGAGCTGTCGGTACTTTCTACTATACAAGTAGTTGTTTCAACATTTTTTTTCTTAATATTTTTCAAATCCAACCCAACAATTATTATACATCATTTTAAAGAGAAAGCTTTGAGCTTTAATTTAAAATAAGTTTCATTCCTTAATTTCAATAAATACGGCTTACAGGAATTTTTAAATTAGCATATTTTTAACATTTTTAGGTTATTCGAAAATGTAAGTTTTGTTTCAAAATTTTTTTTCTCTATATTTTTCCAATCCAACCCAACAATTATTATACATCATTTTAAAGAGAAAGCTTTGAGCTTTAATTTA